CCTCCTTGACCTCAACCACAGCCATTTTTTACTTGACACATCCCCAAAGGCAAGGGAATTAAGACCTCATCAAAATAAAAAGCTTCTGCACGGCAAAGGAAACAATCCATAAAACTAATAGGCAACCGATGGAATGGGAAAAGATAGTTGCAAAGACATCTCAGATAAAGGGCTAGTATCCAAAATCTATAAGGAACTCACCAAACTCCACACCCGAAAAACATATAATCCAGTGAAGAAATGGGCAGAAGACATGAACAGACACTTCTCCAAAGAGGACATCCAGATGGCCAACAGACACATGAAACGATGCTCAGCATCCCTCCTCATCAGGGAAATACAAATCAAAACCACACTGAGATACCACATCATGCCAGTCAGAGTGGCTAAAATGAGCAAATCAGAGAACTCTAGATGCAGGCGAGGATGTGGAGAAGTGGGTGCCCTCCTACACTGTTGGTGGGAATGTAAACTGGAGCAGCCCCTCTGGAAAACAGGGTGGGGGTTCCTCAAAAAATGAACAATAGAACTCCCCTAGGACCCAGCAATAGCACTGCTAGGAATTCACCCAAGGGATACAGGAGTGCTGATGCACAGGGGCACATGGACCCCAATGTTCATAGCAGCACTCTCCACAATAGTGAAAACATGGAAAGAACCTAAGTGTCCATCAATGGACAAATGGATCAAGAAGATGTGGTTCATCTATACAATGGAATACGACATGGCAATGAGAAAGAATTCATTCTTTCTCATCTGGCCATTTGTAGCAACATGGACGGAACTCGAAGGTATCATGCTAAGTGAAATAAGTCAGGCAGAGAAGGACAGATACCATATGTTTTCACTCATAAGTGGAACAGGAGAAACTTAACGGAGGACCGTGGGGGAGAAAAAAGGGAAAAATAGTTGGGGAGAGGGAGGGAGGCAAACCATGAGAGACTCTTGAATACTGAGAACAAGCTGAGGGCTGATGGGGGTGGGGAGAGGGGAAGGGGGTGATGGGCATGGAGGAGGGCACTTGTGGGGATGAGCACTGGGTGTTATATGGAAACCAACTTGACAATAAACTATAAAAATAAATAAATAAAACAGGAATGTGAAATGTATGTTCGGATGCAGAATAATCACCAAGGTATAGTAAATGAAAAGGCCCGGGTGCAGGACAGTACAGAGCGCCTCCCTCGGGTACAGATGTGTGTGCCCATGTGCCATGGCCTCTAGTACACCAGCATCTACCGAGGGATTCATAAGAAACTCCTCCTTGGCACCTTGGGGCCCCTGGGGGGCTCAGTCCATTAAGCGTCCGACTCTTGATGTCGGCTCAGGTCATGATCTCGCTGTTCGTGGGTTCAAGTCCTGCGTCTGGCTCTGCACTGACAGATCAGAGCCTGCTTGGGATTCTCTCTCCCTCCCTCTCTGCCCCTCCTGTACGCAGTCCACCTCCCTGCCCCTGTCTCTCGAAAATAAATAAACTTAAAAAAAAAAAGAAGAAGAAAGAAACTGGACCTGTTGGGCTCTGGGGAAGGGAGGGGAAAGGAAGAAGTTTGCACTGTGCACACTTCTGCCCCTTCCAAATTTTGAAGAATGAAAACGTCTTACTGATACTAAACGTATATGTTAAATAAAACAAGAAAATTATCACAGGATTGCAAAAAAAGGCGGCACCTTCCTTCTGGCAACTTCGACCCCAGGATGACAGAAAGACAAGTCCATCGACCCTGTTTCCTAACCCTGACTGCACCCCAGGCCCTGGCACATGTGGCTGCCGCCTCCCTCCGTGGCTGCCTCCTGCTCATCTCCAGGACCTGTCACACTTGGTACTTCCTCCAGGAAGTCCTCCTGGGCCCTTTGCTGGTGAGCCGCGGCTTTGTGCCCCCGGACCCTGCGCTCCCCCTGCCGCTCCGGCCCATGGCGGTGCTGGTCCACCTGCACGTCTGTCCGCCAGGGGCCTGGGGGATGGAAACCTGGAACGAAGCCCCTGGGACCCAGCGCCCAGCCCTTCACCTGCCCCAGCAGGTGCCCCAGACAGTGTCTGCTGAGCAGAACCTTTTCCACTCGAGGAAAATGCCTCCCGGGAGAACAGGACAATGAATCAGGCAGCGGGGAGAGACGCTGCACCACACTTGACATTTCCTGCGGCTTGGCCACAGGCCAGGCCGACACTCTCATCTGATTTGCTTAAAAGCCCGGGTGGGGCCCTTTTGCAGGAGCCGGGCCGACGGGGGTGGGGAGGGCATGCATTACCTCGCTCGGGCTTAGGGCCTCCGTGCTGCCGAGCCTGGCCGGGCAATCCCAAAGAAGGTCCCCATGGTGGCTTGCTGACAGTCCTCTGACAAATTGCTTTCTGCCGCGGCAGCCGGGGCCGCCCATCTGGCCGCTCTCCAGGGACCTGGGGTCACTCATAGCGGCGGTCCCGGTGTGGGGGGAGGCCCGGCGCCAGCCCCTGCAGGCCGCGTCCCTGCCTGACCCCACTCGGCCACCCAAGCAGGTGCAGTGTCCGCGCCGGGGGCATCTGACCAGACTGGGCTCTGGCCACATCCGGCCCACCAAGGCAGTGGCCCCTTCCAAGGGCGGGGGCCGACGGTCGGGGTGAAGAAAATGCCAGAGTCCTCCATCCGCCTCGGCAAACGTGCCACCCAGGAGTCAGAGCACAAAGCAAGACCCAGCTTGAGGCGACCGGAAGTGCCAGACCCAGGCGTCCGTCATTCACGGCCAGGGTCACAAGCGGTTTCTGCCTTCGGAAGATGATTTATTGGAATCGCCTTGCCTTCCTTTAATGGATTCTCCCCAGCCGCCTCTCCGCCGAGGCCCCGAATGTGGGAAGCGGGAGGCAGGGAGCACTCGAGTGACAGGCGTCAGGGCCCATGAACCCGGTGGGAGCGTCCTGGACCGGGGCGGCCTTGTGAGCGTCCGGCCGGCTTAGCAGTGAGGTGTCGCCGGCTGCTCCCCGACCTCCCCTGGCTCACACCTCCTCTTCCTCATAGTCCCAATGCTCCAAGCTGATGGCGTTGTCCCAGAATGACGGTGGAGAAACTCCGTAACAGAGGCCCCACACCCGAGTGAGGCGCCGGTTCTGCAGGACGCCGCACAGCTGGCCATGCCGGGGCCGCGGTGGCGGTCGGGACGGCAGTAATCGCAAGTGTTCAACACTGGGCGTCCTTGAGCACCAGCGATGGGGCCGCAGGGTTGTCAGGAGGTCCTGGGGACAGACACGGACAGCGTCTTCTTTTTTCCTGCTTCCCGGGACCTGGCCTCACATGGCGGTTGCCACGAAATGCGCACTGAACAAACGGATGGGTGGGTGTGTTGGTCAGTCAGCCCAAGGACAGATGGGTGGAGGTGATGACCCATCACACAGCCCTTCGGGTTCGTCAAGGGGGCAGCAGCTCAGTGTGCTGACGCTCAATCGCCCCGCTTTTCTTAGGAACCAATGGCGCCCCCAGTTCCGCTCAGAATAAATCCCTTGGTTTCTATCACTGCCGTGTGGCCCGGTATGTAAGACGTCGACATTACGGGAAGCTGGGGGGAGGGTATAGGGGATCTCCCTGCACTTCCCAACATATAAAGTTAAACTGCATTAAATAAACCCTACGTGCTTTGCCTGCTGCCCCGGGAACTCCAGGTCTCTCCTCCTGGTACCTCCTTGTCCTGAAGTGACCAGCGATTCCAGGAGGGAACGGAACTGGGAGGGTAACTCTGACCTTTCCCCCAATGCCCCCATCAGCCCCTTTCCAGAGACAGCGATGGCGTCTCTGATCGGTGAACCAGGGACAGGATCTGAGCATATGTGGTCTGAACCCCCTCGATTCTTTTGTTGGGTGGCTTGCCCTCAAGACAGATGCATTTTCTTCACTCCTGAGTCCTACACCCGGGTCAGGAAGATGAGTCCTGTTCTCAGCGCAAGGGAGGGGGGCTGGAGGGGATGAGGCAGGAACCCCCTGTAGCTGGCTTGGCAACGGGCTGCTTTGCACATGTCTTTAATGACATACTCAAAGTTCAGTTCCATGTCTCAGGGCCTTTGCACGTGCTGTTCTCTTTGACTGTAACACCCGTCCCCACCTCACCCATGTGTTGAACACCTCAATGGGCCTAGGGGCTCTGCTCAGCCATCTCCTCCTGAATGATCATTTCCCAAGGCCAGGCAGGAAGGGCTTCTCCCTTGATCTCACACCTCCCGGCACACGTAATGGGCTACACCGTGCACTATTCACATGTGTGTCTCCCATCGCCCCGTGAGCTCCCTGAAGCAGGGACCAGAGTTGGCTCACCTCCCTCACCCTCACGTTGTATTTCCTGGCCTTCGTCGGACGTCAACAAATGTTGCTTGAATAAGTGGGACTTATTAGAAAATTCTGATGGGTTTGAATGCTTTAAAATGTAAAATATATACTTAAATCGGGCATTTCATTTAGTAGACCAAAACCTTTTAAAACAGGAGGAGGGGCCCCAAGGGCAGGAAAATAACGAAACAGTTCTCTGTGGCTGACAATGTTAGGAGCTATCAGACCAGTCCAGGGGTTCCCAATCCCAGCACCGTTGATATCTGGGCTGGATAATCTGCCGTAGGACACCGTCTTGTGCATTGTGGGGTGTTTAACAGCATCCCTGGCCTCTATGCTAGATGCCGGGAGCCGTTTCCGAGTTACAATAATAAAAAGTGTCTCCGGACATTGCCAAAATTTTCCCTGGTTGGGAAAAATCATGGGCAGCTGAGAGCCACTGAACCAGTCACTCAGTAGGTGTTGGTACAGCAGACATTCCCTTTGCTGCCTTGACGGGAGGCAAAGCCCGAGCTCTCAGAACACGCGAGGCACAGTCCGGTATTTCTCCCACGCTCTGACAAAACCAGCATGGACCCCGAGCCAGAGGCAAAACTGCTTGGCACAGGATGAGAGCTTTGATTGCTACCAATTTCTTAAAGCAGTGTCTGAAGGCTCGGCTTGAAATATTTATAGAGTCTATGAAATGGCCCCGGAGTGCGAGCGGTTCTATTAAATTTATAACTCCAGCGGTGATTTATTGACCTGGGAATTGCTGCAAATGCTCTGCCTAAGCTCTTTGTGGAAAGCCAGGATCCTCGCGGGGCTCAGGAGCTCAGTGGGCGGCGGGAGGTCATCGGCTCGCCGGGCAGGACGGGACAGTGCGCCTTCCTCTTCCAGGCTTCGCGCAGGGCATGCTGGCTCTGGACCCGCTCCAGGATCGGCTGCCGGCCCCAAGGGTGAGGAAAGCTGGAGGCAAGAGCAGAATGAAATGGTCTCTGCTTCTCCCCGCTCCTAAAAACCTCCTCATCCCACATTCATCCAGGGAAGACATGGCGGCCGTAATGAACATTTATGGAGCACCCTCTGTGGCCCGCACAAGTGCTTCCCTTGCAGTGCTCACTCCCTTCTATTACAGTCCGACGGGGCACATGACGCCATCCCGGCCCAGCAGGCGAGGAAGGGGGGCTGGGGGTGGCTCTCACCACGTCACCCAACAGGTGTCTGCCTGGACAATCACTGATGGGTGTCCCCACAGAGCGGGTGTCCACCCTAATGCCTCTTGTTTGCAGGGATGAGAGATGGAGAGCGTCCCGTCAAAAGGAAATCAATGTCGACTGGCTGCTGACCTCACGCCAGCACCGCCCACCGCTCTTCTCAGTGAGCTGGTTCCCCTGATTCCACGGAGTCCTCGCCCAGGCTGTCATCAGACCCCCAGGACAGGTGCCTGTTTCAGAGACTCTGAATGGCTCTCCTAAACCTACGTAGCTGCTGAACCCAAGCCCACTCGACCTCAAATCCCCCTTCATGCCCGGCATCCACACTTATCAAGCACCATCCGCAAATGACGGAAGGAAGGACCCCTGTGCTGGGCAGTGTGAGTCCTACTTCTGTCTCTGCTCAGTCCTCCAGCAGCGTGCCTCAGCTGTCAGGCAGGTAGAATGGAGCAAACCTCTCCCGGGACCCCGGGAGGCAGTGACCAGTGGGCGGTGTTGACACTCAGTTCTGCTGATGGCTGAGAAAGAGGCAGAGGCAGGAAGGAGAGGAAATGCGGGTCAGGAGGCAGCATCCTGTGTGTCCCGCCTGGACCAGCCCCTCCCCTGTGGTGCCCTCACCCAGTGGCACAGGCAGCCTGATGAACGTGTGGGTCCGCGGCAGAGATCGAGCCAGGAGAGAGGCCCCCGCACCTGCCAGTGGAGCACCCGGGAGGGGGGCACCGACCATATACCGAGGAGCAGGCAGGCCTCCTGGAGGAGGCGGTATCTGAGCCAGACTTTTGAGACAAAGCAGGATTCTGCTGTTTTAGAAACTGAAGGTCACTGGGGCACCTGGGTGGCTCAGTCGGTTGAGCGTCCTACTCTGGCTCAGGTCATGATCACGGCTTGTGGGTTCGAGCCCCGCGTTGGGCTCTGTGCTGACAGCTCAGAGCCTGGAGCTGCTTTGGATTCTGTGTCTCCCTCTCTCTTTGCTCCCCCCCCACCCCACTCACACTCTGTCTTTCTTTCTCAAAAATAAATAAACATTAAAAATTTTTTTTAATTAAAAACAACCCTGAAGATCAATGCATGTAATGTGCAAACAGCAATGTAAGGAGTCTGGACTTGTCATAATAATAATATTTAAACCTCAGGAAACCACAGACATTGTAGAAAGAGGTGGTACGATATTTCCTAAGGGTCAACCTATGGCAGAGGACATTTCTGGAGCCGTATGATATGACAGATATTATGCTAAGCAATGCATACATATTCATTCAGTCTTTAACCCAATGAAGCAGCTAGAATTATTACCCCATCGTACAGATGAAGAAGCAGAGGCCCAGAGAGGTTAAATGACCTGCCTATGGCCACACAGCTAACAGAAGGCACAGTCAGGATTTGAGTCCAGGCCGCGTGGCCCCCCAGCCTGCACCGTTCGCCCCTACAGTTGGCTGTCACAGATGAAGGGTGCTCAGGGAGACAGTGGCGTGATCAGGCTGTGACATAGGGACAAACATTTCTTCCATCACCAAGGTTTACCAGCCTTCTCGGGATATTTGTGTATATTCCTAGGCTCGCCCTGCTTTTTCCTCTTTCTTCTCTCTCAGCTCGACCATAAAATAATAGAATGGTGACATGTGACTAATTTAGTTACTGTCCTTCAAACCTGACCTCGTTTTGCTGATAGGTCACTGATGCCCTGGTGTAGTTATTTAACAGGCTTGTTCTCACTGCAGAAAGCTCACCCCCTCGAGCCAGCCCGCATCTACGGCAATCTGCTGCTCCCCCAGCCAGCAGGCTCTGCTCCTTGACGCCCTGCACAGCCGGGCAAGACTCAGCCTGCAGGGGAAGCGGGGAGGACGAGGCGCCTGTGTGACCTTCTAGGAAAAGCCCACCAGCCCCTCTCTCTGCCTCTGCCACCCACAGGCCCTCATGAAGACCTCCCGTGGGCTGGGTGCGGGGCAAAGCACGGGAACCAAAATGTCTGCATCGACACCCCGTCATCTCCCTGCGGGTCATGCAAACGTCCCGTGGACTCGCAGCTGTGTCCGAAAGCGGAAGCGTGTTTGTGCTGTGGCATTCGACATGCATGGCGACGACTTTGAAGAAAGCTAAAGAACAGCCCAGAAACTTGGAGCACCTTCTGGCTCATTCATTCGTGCAGTTTGTGCTCCGCCCATCACTGTCAGACGGCTGCTGTCATGTTTCTGGCTGGCATCACCTTCGTGGGGTTTTTCTCACCCCGAACTCCAGGCTGGGCTGCACAGGGGGCAGGAGAGACTGTTCCCACAACCCTCCCGTGGAGGCTCCGCACATCTGGCCACATGGCGGCCGCAGCACCAGCTCCAGACCCAGGCTGCCTGGGTTGGACCCCAGCTGTGCTCCTCACGAGCTGTATGACCCGGGGTTGGCTATTTACGTCCTCTGTGCCTTGTCTCTTCTCACAGGTAAAGGGGGCAAATGCTGATACTATTTTGTAAGCCCCCCGTGAGGACTGCAAGAGCCAGAGCAGGCACTCAAGAAGGAGGCAGAGCATTTCTTCGCCCCTGGACTCTCATCAACATGGTCGCTGGGATCTCCAGGTCCCCTCTCTGCACCTCCTTACTTCCTGCCACAGCTGCGTTTGACTGCCCGCAGTGCCCCTGATGCCCGAGAACCCACCCTCTGTCTTTCCAGATGCTGTTTCCTTTGTCTAGAATCCCTTCTGCCTGCTGGGGATAAGCCAGGCCAGAGATCAAAAGCCAGACGAAATTTTCCTAGAAAAAGACCAAAGCTGGGGAAAAAAAGTACTCATTCTTGGGTAATAAACCTGTAGATGTGTAATTTAAAATGAAAGTCACTAGTCAGGGAAGAAAAATGTTTAAGTCAATAACAGGGGCGCCTGGGTGGCTCAGTTGTGTAAGCATCCAACTCTTGATTTCAGCTCAGGTCATGATCTCATGGTTCGTGAGATCGAGCCCTGCATCAGGCTCTGCACTGATGGTGCGGAGCCTGTTTGGAATTCTCTCTTTCTCCCTATCTCTCTGCCCCTCCCCTGTGTGTGCTCTCTCTCCCTCTCTCTCTGCGCCCCCCCACCTTCTCTCAAAAATAAATAAATAAAATTTTAAAAATAAAAGGTCAATAACAAGAGCTGCCATTTACTGACCGCCTCTCTCATACCGGGCAGTATAGCAAGCAGGTTATGTGCGTGATTTCACTGAACTGTCCTAACAATTCTAAGAAGCAAATGTTGCCTCCACTGTTTAGATAAATAAATTAATAGAATTGTGGAGGCAGGAGAGAAGCCATGGGAATGACAGGTGGAAGGAAAGGACCAATGGGCTGAGCTAAAATGCTGAGAATAAGATGAGATTCCCGAGTAATGGCGGCTTTTTTTTTTCCTCCTGAGTGGCTCTCTTGTTCACACAGTGTTCAGGCCCTGCTTACCTGATTTTGTGCTCATACCGGCAGTAGGCAGTATCATCCCCATGCTACAGACGAGGAGGCGGAGACAGACGCACTAAGTCATCTGCCCGACATCACACTGAATTATGGCAGGGATTTGAACCTGGGCCTGTCAGACCCCACGTCTCATAAGTAAATACATTTTCTCTGGGCAAAGAGAGGGCTGCTCTGGCTCTATCTGATTAGGACATTTTGGACTGAACCCATAAATACTAGAAGAGCTGGACAGAGCAGAACACACCTTCTATTTAAACCATCTGAGAGCTACCGAGATGGTCAGGATCTGAGGGACGAATGCTGAAAACAGGGGAGAAGCCAGAGTCTCTGGCATGACCGTGGGGGCCACACTTCCCTCTGGGTGAGGGCAGCGCCTGCAGTAACAGTGGCAGTTGTGAGTCAGAAGGCTCAGCAGAGCTTTTCCCAGCTGCATGGGACTGACAAGGCCAAGGGCAAAAGATGCTGATAAACACTACAGTCCTCTGGTTAGGACCCCAAAGGCTATACCCAAGGAGTACAAGGCATGGGAAGGAAACAGCACTTGTGAGTGCTGAAACTCATCTCTGAACCAGGTTAGAAGGTGAGGAACGGCCTGCTCCCCGCCTAGCTACCTGCCACAAACAAAAGGAAGTTTGCTCTGGATGGAGACGATACACTATGAAGCAGAACCCCAAAGGATACCTTTAGGTTTTGACATATGATGTCCAGCACCCAGTGAAAAATAACCAGACACCGAATACACCACTTGACCCAAAACACAAATTAAAGAGCAGATAATAGGCAGAGACGAGGAGGGGAAACCAAAGGGTATCTGTGGTGCCGGTCATTTTTCTAGTTCCCAACCGAGTGATGGCTTTTTTGGGTATCGCTCCACGATAACTCATTGATCTGCACACTTATGTGTGCCCTTTTCCGTATGTGCGTTACAGGCTTAATAAAAATGTTTATGTAAGAAATTAGATGATGGAAGCCCTCTCACCTTTGGAGAATCCAGTCTAGCCGTGTTCTGTGTTGGCCACTCAGCCTTGGGAACAGGCCAGGGCTCTGCATGTAAAGGTCTTTGGATGCTGCTGCTGTCCGTTTGGGGATTCAGGAGGTATTTCTGAGCTGGAAAAAAGTATTCTCAGTCAAGCCTCAAACCAGAAATCTATTCTAAAAATCACAAGCCTATGAGCCTTAGGACATTTTCCATTCTCTTCCATCCCCAAATCCCCCCGTGCCCGTGACAGAGGCCCTCTCGGGTGCCCACGAACCCTTGAGTGTCTCGTCCGTGTGTCTCTGATGGTCCCATCATGGCCATGGGTGTCCTAGAAAACTACCTGTCTCCATCAGCCTTCCCTCCTTGGCCGCCAGCTCATTCGCCACAGGGACCACCACCCCTGCAAGCCGACCCGTTTTTGTAGCCCCTGCAATACACCCCCCTGGGTCTGGTACACAGTAGCCTTCCAGACATGTTGAGGGGACAAGTAACTCAATCAATCTAGCACATTTCTGAGGATGCTGAGCCCACAGAAGGAAGGACGCTTGCACAGGTTAGTGGCAGATGAAGAACCGAGCGGGGCTGATGCCCTTCCAACCATGAGAACAGATGCCAACTCAGACTGCCAGGAGGACACGAAGGGCTGGCCCATCCTGACCACATGCAGACTGAGAACAGATCTCTCTTTTTGGGTCAGACACTCCTGAGCAAGGTCAGAGTATCCTCCTTCAAAAGATAAGACTCTAGGGCTCAGAGAGGTTAATTAACTCATCCAAGATTACACAGCTGGTAAGCACAAAATAAGAATTGTTAGAGGAGCGCCTGGGTGGCTCAGTCGGTTAAGCATCCAACTTCGGCTCAGGTCATGATCTCACAGTCTGTGGGTTCAAGCCCCACGTCGGGCTCTGTGCTGACAGCTCAGAGCCTGGAGCCTGTTTCAGATTCTGTGTCTCCCTCTCTCTGACCCACCCCTGCTCACGCTGTCTCTATCTCTCTCTCTCTCAAAAATAAATAAAACATTAAAAAATTTAAAAAAAAGAATTGCTAGATATCAAGAGCAGCTCACTCACCTAGAGACAATGCCATCCCCACTTTCTCCATGATTCTTTTTTTAATGTTTATTTATTTATTTTAAGAGAGAGAGAGAGAGAGTGTGAGTAGGGGAGGGGCAGAGAGGAAGGGACACAGAGAATGCCAAGCAGGCTCCACACTGTCAGCACAGAGGCCAATGCGGGGCTTGAACTCAAGAACTGTGAGGTCATGGCCTGAGCCAATGATCATGGCTTAACCAGCTGAGCCACCCAGGTGCCCCACTTTCTCCATGTTTCTTCTGAGCTCCCGAAATGAACAGAACCCTAAACGAATCCCTTCCCCCATGCTGAGAGCACAATGCACTTAACCAGGGAAATCCTGTCTTCCCAGGTAGCATCTCATTTTCCTTCTTAGTAACAAACAGAACAGGGGCGCCTGGGGGACTCAGTCAGTTGAGCGTCCGACTTCGGCTCAGGTCGTGATCTCACGGTTCATGAGTTCAAGCCCCACATCGGGCTCTTTGCTGACAGCTCAGAGCCTAGAGCTGCTTCAGATTCTGTGTCTCCCTCTCTCTCTGACTCTCCCCTGCTCATGCTGTCTCTCTCTCTCTCTCAAAAATTAAAACAAATAAAAAATAATAATAAACAGAACAAAAGCAATCACCCGTTACCTTCTTTCTATGTAACCACTGTTAGAATTTGAGTTTATCTCTCGACTTCAATTGCCACTCACACAGATGGTGTGGTCATAGAGCTCTATCACTGCAATCATCCAATATATCCCATTCTCTATCTTTTAAAAATTTAGGAGAATATCATAATTTCCGTGGTATCACATGGTACTCAGCAGCGTGATTATAAGTGACCAACACTTCACTGAGTATATGGGTTCATTAACAACGCTAGAGGTCCCCTGCCCTGCACAGCTTTTCATTATTAGAAATGTGCCCGTATGAATACACCTGTCCATTGAGTTTTTCCACACCGAGAATACTTCCTGAGGATGAATCGCCAGGAATGAAACCACAGGGCTGAGAAGTTCGGCCACTTCTGTGGAGTGTTTTCTGTCCTGCATTCATTCCCCTCACACTGGGGAGCGAGAACGTAGGGCCAAGTAGGGCAGGAGGGGGAGAAAGCAGGGCCGGTTCCTCCCAGTCTGCACTTGACCCTGGTCCACCTGTCAGAGGGTCCTGCTGGCTCAGACCACATCTGAGCACACAGATATCGCTAATTGAAAATCGCACTGACCTCTTACAGCTGCTGCTGTCTCAGACGCGGCGTCCAGGGGGGGGCCGGTCTGGAAGAAAAGACACGTCGGCAGTTATTCCGCGTGACCCAGGAGAAAAAGCCTCCGCAGATGGCTGCGACTGGGAGGGAGCAGGTCACTCGCCCCTCGCTGCGCGAAGCTCGTTCTCCAGTCAGAGCCAGCCCTCCCCCCTCTGCCCATGACCCTCGAAGGAGCCCACGACCTGTTCTCAGGGAATACAGATGCAGGAAAGCAATTGCATTTCCTCTACTCATATTAAATCTCCAAACGAAGACTGTGATTCATGTGTTTTAGAAACTGCTGTGAAAAGCGAGGGGGCGGGGGATGAGGGCAGCTGGACGGCAAAGTTTCCAGAAGAAATAGTCTTTCTCCACGGAGGTCCTGCAAGAGCTCGCAGGAGCCGATTGCTGAGCTGTCCTTGGGGTCTCTGGCTCCGGCACCCAGAATTCAGGTCGGCCTTGAACTGGAGTCCCCTGCACCACCTTGAAGACTGGGTGCCTGTCCTGCATCCCATGACTGTGCAGGGTCTATAAAAGGTGGTGCAGCAAAGTTAGCTCGCTGGCGGGCCCTGACGGGTTTATCAAGAGCAGGGCTGGACCCTCAAGGCAGGTCAGATTCTAGGCCAGCAGCCCAGCCCTTGCCTCCCCTTCGGCATTTCTGGCCAGGCAGTGGCCCCAGTGCGTGTCATCTCGCGTCCCCATCCCTGTGTCCTCTAAGTATTTACATAAGCAGCCCCCCTGCCTAGAGACCCCGGCCCTCTCTCTCTCTCTATCCTTGGCGAACTTCTGTGTATACATCATGACCTAATTCAAACGCCCCCTCCTGCATGAAGTCTTCCCTGACTTCACCCGGCAGAGTTCAGCCAGCTGCCTCTCACATAGCACCCCCATGCTGTGCTGTGACAGTGGCTCCTTGTCCCCCTAAAACAGATTAACCAACCCAGCGGCCAATGCACAAGGGCACAGATTACGGCTCGACCGTCTTCCGACACGAATCCAATCACACCGCACTTGCCGGAACCTTCTGTATGAGGCACACTGCCTCTTCTTTCACGACGCTCCCGCCGAGCTGGGCTCACATCCCCAGGGACGCTGTGTGCCTCCCAGCACCGTCGCCATTCACAGCCCCACGTGCAGCCCAGACCGCCTTCGCTCTGTCTTTCCGGCAATTACAACCCTTTTGTATCCGTTCAGGCCTGGCCTGTGTGCCTCCTCCTCCAGGAAGCATCTTCCCCATCAAGTCTCTCTCTCTCTCTGCCTGAAATGTATGCTTTCTCTTGCGCCCGGCTTCTGATGGACTCTCGTGCGACGCTGACTCCTTCACCACGAGAACAAGGTCTCACTGACCTTCGCGTCCCGAGTAGCCCCGGATCCATCCGAGGATTCAGCACGGGATCGGGGATCTAGAGACCTTCCTTCCTGCCTGCCCCCCATTCAGCCACCAGCCTGGCGACGCTCAGAGCCAGGCATTCTCCCGCTGACCCTGCCTCTGCCGCCTCCGTGGTCTTGGCCAAGCAAGACACGCTGAGCCTGAGTGCGCCCTCTCCATCCGCAGAAGGGAGGCGCTAGCACGTTCCTGGCGGGGGAGGGGGGGCTGTCGGAATGCAGTGAGAACGAATGTCTACTAAGTGCTCCACACGGGGTAGTAGACAAACATCCATCCTGCGAGCTCCACTCCGCCCCTTGCTCTTCCCCGTGGAAACTTTTGGGGGAATAGTCTAAATTTAATAAAAGGCAAGCAGTAAAGGGAAAAATAATTTCCTAGGTCCTTGGAGGCCCAGGATGGGGAGGGTGGGGGTCGCCGATTTAATGAATTAGGGGAGTTTAGGGCTCGGAGCCCCGCTGCTGCTTGTGAAGACGCCGTTTTCCTGGAAGCCGGGCTACAGAGCTCGCTGACGATGCGCAGGGGAGAGCAAGAGCGCTTCCCGGAGGCGGAGGGAAGAGGGAAGTGCAGGGCAAGAGGGAGCGAAGGGCAAGAGGGAGCAAAGGTAGCAGCCCACCTTGCGGGGTCGCCTGCCCCCACCAGGGCTGCAGTCCCAATGACTCCCCACTGGCGGCTTGCCAAGTCCCTCCCCCCCCCCCCGGGACCCCAGTGCTCCGTGAGTGCCTGTGTGACAGCTCTGGGTGGACTTCTGGCATGAGACTTGCTGAAACCTTCCAGAGCCCTGGGGACGGACAGCAGACCTCCTGGCCCAAGAGAACCGGCCCCTCAGGGAGGTGAGGGTGAGCACCGTGGTCACAGGCTGGCAATCCTTTGGGGTCTGGGTGTCTTCATCTGCCTGGTACAGCCGTGCCAGGAGAAAACGCAGTGACCCCTCCCCTACGGAGTCCCAGGAACTGCAAGCCAACTCCTCAAGTTCCCTGATGGGACCTTCTATTTGTTGAGCGGACCGCGGGCCAGACCCTGGGGGTGGTGGTCCAGGCCCAGGCAGGAGGGCGTGCCCGCACCCTAACCAGGGCCGTCTTCGGGGCGAGCCCTGGGACCCCTTCTCCAGCTCCCCGCTGGCCGCTAGGGCATCCAAGGAGGGGTGACACTTGAATAGAAACCTTAAAGAAAGGTGTCTGATTCTTGGCTTGGGGAAGGTCAACAGCCTAGGTCCTGGCAGAAGCTGGAAAAAATAATAGGTGGCCTGGGACTGGGGGAGAGGGACACCCCACTAAAGCCAAGTTCAAGGGGTGGGCAGAATTGAGACCCCTCCTCCAGAGAAGGTTTTAGGAACCCGAACAAAGGAAGGAAGCTTGCCTTCCCCTGACTCCCACCACCAGGTAGAGGCAGGGGGGTAGCGAGGCCCCGTGTTCCCCCCGCTGAAGGATGGGGGGAAGCCGGCCCAGCTGGCTCGGGGGTCTGCCCCACTTTAGAACCAGTGCTGGAGCTGCAGAGGCCAGCGCAGCCAGGGAAACGCACGGGGGCCGCGTGCAAGGCCAGAGGCGCCAAGGGTGAGACAGGATGCGCGCAGACGCCAGCACAGCAGACAGCCCCAAGGGCTGGGCAGTGCCCCCCTCCCCTCGTCCCTGCACCCGTCCTGGCCCCTCAGTGCCATGCCCCGGATGTCCCCGCTTCCCCCAGCATCTGTGTCCTGAGATCCCAACCCCTGTGTGATGTATTCAGATGGCGCCTTTAGGGGGTGATCAGGGCCTGAGGAGGAAGCCCTCAGGGTGGGATTAGCGCCCCTGTAACCAGAGACACCGGGGAGCTCGGCTCTGTGGGGACATGGTGAGAAGGCAGCCATCTGCAGCCAGGAAGGGGGCCCTCTCCGGCACCATCCACGCCTGCAGCTTGACCTCTGACTTCCAGTCTCCAGAACTGTGAGAAATGAATGTTCGCGGCTTAAACCCTCTCCCTCCCTCCCCGCCCCCCTCTGTGGGATTTTGTCACAGCGGCCGGAGCCGACTAAGACACTTAGACACGGCCCTGAGGACACGGCACGGGTGTGCAGCGGACTGAGGCTCACCGAGTATCACCCACCCTGCCCGTGCCAGGAAAGTGCTCAACGGGAGGTGCTTACTGGCCCGAGTGACCCGCGGCGGATGCGAGGACCTTCCTCCTGCAGGGCAGGCGTGCAGATGGCTGTGGCCGTGCCCCCAGCTGTGACCTGGACCAGCTCTTTGACTACTTGGAGCCTCAGTTTCCCCCCGGAAAACGCAGGCTTTGGGAGGAAGTGCTAAGGCCCTGAGGCGCCTGTGTGAGAACCACCTGGTGAAATAAATGCCATGGTTCTTGCAGGGCACTGAGTTAACACTCTGTGTGTGTGTCGTGAGCGCTCTGAGGGTACGGATGCCCAGATCACCATCCTGTACAAGCCAGGAGCACAGGTACTGGCCCGAGTCTTGGGCATGTTCTGGGTGGGCTCAGTGGACAGAGGGAGGCAGGGACAGTTCAGGTCAGGCCGGTGCACAGGCAGGCCAGGTGCCCGCTGCTCCTGGGGAAAGAGGGACACTACCTCTGGGAGCCCCGGAGCCAGGAAGGCGGCCGCGTACTCGGCCAGTGCCACGTCGCCCACCATGCGCCGCGCTGTCTCTGAGAGCAGGTGATCCGCCGCCCCGTGTCTGCATAGCTCCCGCAGTAGGTGCGTGATCAGGCGGTTTCTCTCCTGGCACTTCTGGACCAGAGAAGCCAGCTTGGCCTGCAAGGGAGGGGGGGGGGCAGAGACGCTCCAGGTGGGTCCGCCGATGCAGGGCACCCTCAGGGGCAGGGCAATGGGCTGGGCTCTGGGGCACCGGGGTCCCGCTCTGTGCTCCCTCCCTGCCATCACTTCCTGCCCCCAGAAGCCAGTGCAGCTCTGAAAAGAAGTAGCCGCACTCCCACACCCCCCAGGGGCTCCCCCCTGCCCTCAGAAGGCCCAGAGCGTGGACCCCACCACTGACCACCTCTGTGACCAAGCTCCTCTCTACCCCTCGACTTGCTCATCTGTCCAACAGTCATTGTTAAGGGCAAAGGGGTTGCTGTCCCTCTGTGCCTGGCTCCAGGCTTCCTTCTATCCCGACAGTGAACTTTCATAGCTGTGGGTCTGTCTCCCCGTAGCCTGGGAGCTCCTCAAGGTCAAGGCTGACATTCCCCTGGACCCCTGCACCTTCACTGTGCCGTCACGGGGCACAGAACGGCCCCTGGGAGGGATCTGCTACACGCATGGAGTGAGCGGGGACCCTCCCGCCATCAAATGACCTCCCACATCTGGGCGTGTCTGGAGGGGGTGACAGACCCTCCTCATTCAAGACTGGCCCTGGGCGAGTCTCCTTCCCTCCTGGGGTGGCCCCCGCTCCATCAAAACAGAAGATGATGATCTTTTCCTGCTGGGGAACATTCCCTGGGCAGTGATGCTTGGGCGGCTGGTACTTGGCAGCAGGCCAGGAGGGTGGGCAGACCTGGAGGCCGGGGTTCCCCGGGTCCCCTGGATCACGCCACCCCAAACATCAGGGCCGCGTGCACTCAGCCAGCACTGGTTTAACACCTTGCACGCAGCTCCCGCGACAGAGGGAGGCTTTGTCGATGGTGGTGGTGACTCTCTCGGGCTCGTGCTGGGGAGCCTCGGGCATCAGAGCTGGGGTCAAATCGTGACTCTGCTACGCAGTAGCGCTGCGTGATTACGGACATGTCACTGCATCTGTGAGCCTCAGTTTCCCCATCTGTAAAGCGGGGCTTGTGCTCCCCTTCCTAACATGTTGCTTGTGGATCTTAGGATGAAATCTGTGTGGAGTACGTGACACATGGCAGGCTCTGTAGTTTACAGGGATTGTGGTCCTCATTTAGGTAAAAGGTACCAGGGGGGCGCCTGGGGGGCTCAGTCAGTGGAGCGTCTGACTTTGGCTCAGGTCACGATCTCACGACCAGTGGGTTTGAGCTCCGCATCAGGCTCTGTGCTGACAGCTCAGAACTTGGAGCCTGTTTCAGATTCTGTATCTCTCTCTCTCTCTCTCTCTCTGCCCCTCCCCTGCTCGCACTCTGTCTCTCTCTCTCTCTCTCTCTCTCTCTCTCAAAAAGAAATAAACATTAAAACTTAAAAAACAAAAAAGTAAAAGGTACCAGGAAATGATTAAAACGAGAGGGGATGGAAACCTCACATTTTCCTAGCACTTTCCAGTTTACTCTCCGCGTTTTCACCACTGCCATCCACGCGGTGTCAGAACGAGCTGTGAGGGCCGCCCGGTGGGGCTTCCTGTCACCTCACAGTTGTAGGCCTGACTCACAGACATATGTGGGCCTCTGGGATGGAGGGGGGCTTTAGGGATTGTGTGGCTCACATTTTTTTTCTCTTTCTTATTTTAGAGACGGAGAAAGCAAGAGAGCACACGTGAGTGGGAGAGAGGGGGACAGAGGGCGGAGAGAGAGAGAGAGAGAGAGAGAGAGAGAGAGAGAATCCCAAGCAGGCTCCACACTCTCAGCGCAGAGCCCAGCACAGGGCTCGAACCCATGAACCGCGAGATCATGACCTGAGCGGAAATCAAGAGTCAGATTTCCGCTCAGGTCATCTGACTCAACAGACTGAGCCCCCCAGGCGCCCACGTGGCCCACATTTCTGAGTGAACATCTAAGGAAACCGAAGCCCCAGAGCGGGTAGGGTCGGTGAGTCACTGGGGCCCGGGGCCCCCTTGGCATCCTGCCCAGAGACTGCCCAGGAATGGCGACAGGCCGTCAGGTCCACACCCCAAATCCAGGTGCCATATCTGAGGTGAAATGTGTCATCTCGACCCAACTACACATCCGACCGACTGGCAAAAGACATTGGCCAGTAGTGCCACTTGGGAATAGGTCCTAAAGAACCATCTGGCTACACGGGGAGAGCATTTCTAATACAAAATGTGCATCATGGTGTTTAGAATATAATAATGCAAAAGGAGGGTGGGGAGGGGAGGACGGACAGACAGACCGAGCAAGGTCACGGCGGCCGTATGAGCCATGGCCTCTCGTGTTTTGCTCTCTGGCATGTGCCGCCACTTCAGAGGTCGGGACAGACAGGGACAGTCCCTCTGGGTCATGCTCTCAGGCAGGAAAATAGGACAGGGACATGGAGGTGTGGTGGGGCCTCAGAAACATGTAAAATATACTGGGAGAAAATATATGAAAGCCCTAGGTTCAAATGGGGGTTTGGGGGGATATTTGTCTCTTTCATTCTTCTTTCTAGATTTATTTTATAATAGACATAAACTATATCTAGAATGGGGAAAATACTAAGCTTTTTTTTTTTTTTTTTTTGGAAAGAGACATTGCATTTCGATCTCACAGACATATTACCTTCAAAGGAGCCACGGCAGAATTTGCCTCATGTTGCTTTTTCTGAAGTTCCTCAAGCTGAAAGAGAACCAGTGTGTTTGATAACATTGAGCCCCTGGTTACACAGCCTGAGCCTCCCCGGGTGAGCTAGGCTCAGAGAGGTTGGCTCTGGTCCTCTCTCTTCCCACAGGGGGAGGGGGGCCTCAGCGTGGGGGGGGGGCTTTCCATCACTTGCCCAGCGAGATCGGGGTGGGGAAGGATGCTCTGAGCACTACGAATGAGTTCTGCTGGTTTGCAGGTGCGGGCCAGCTCTGTTCCCTCTTCCTTCCAGAAGGAAGCCTCCCCGGATTCCCGATGAAGAGATGCCAGCGATTTTTCTGGGGCCGTGTTAACCTCTGGGTATCAGAGCCAGACACCCTGGGTCCTAATCCTGGCTCAGTCACTCACTGGCACTGTGACCTTGTGCAAGTCACCTCTCTTTCTGCCTCAGTCTTCTTGTCTGTAAAGTGGAGGTTATAGTAGAGCCTAGCCAATTAGTGAGGATCAGAGTGAGGAATGCATGCATTGTTTCCTGTAAAGTGGTTAGAACATCCAGTTAAAACCCACTGAACATAAGCCATTATCACGAACTAGCAGAGGTGCCAGGCACGTGAGGAAAGCTCCCTTGGACCTTCCAGCCTCGCCCCGCACACAGCCGAATACTGATGCTTGTGGAGCACAGTTACCCAGCGCATCCTGTCCGTACTGCTGACCCACCAAATCATAAGACAGAATAAGATGGCTGTTGTGTGAGGACTTCTGCCTCTCCCTCTCATTCCTCTGTAGTCAGTACAGGAAAGCTACACAAATAAAAGTCCTTTTTCCTCTTCACACCCTCTTCTGACCTCTAACACTGTTTTTAGCCTTACAGACTCACCATCAGAATGCCTACACATACGAAACTATGTTATTCAAATGCCTTACATCTTGGATTGCCATTTAATTTTAAATCATCATGTTATTTTGGGGCGCCTGGGGGGCCCAGTCAATTAAGCGTCTGACTCTTGATTTCAGCTCAGGTCATGATCTCATGGGTCATGAGATCGAGCCCCAAGTTGGGATCTGTGCTGATAGCATGGAGCCTGCTGGGATTCATTCTCTCTCAATCTCTCTCTCTCCCCACCCCCCCGTCTCTCTGGCCCTCCCCAACTCCCGTGCGCGCTCTCTCTCATAATAAATAAATAAACATTAAAATAAAGTAAAATAAGATAATCAAATCAAATCATGGTGTTACTTCTATGTCAATTCACACAAACAGACCACATTCTTTAAAAATCCAGCATATTATTTCATCACGAGGCTGAAACATAATCTATTTAACTGATTCTTTGTGAAGATGTATATTGTTTCTTTGTTTCCCAGACAGGCTTCAATGAACATTTTTATATAGCTATTGGGGGGGGGGGCATACCTTCCTAAATGTATTCAGTGCAAACTGCCAGCTCCAAGCCAACTGTCTGCTATTCAAAAGTCTCTCAATAATATTTGCAGGCTTGGATTCAACCATCTTTCTGCTTCCGCTTAGGAAATAACAGGGATACGTTGCGGTGCACCATATCCTGGGGCATTTGCCATGAAAACATGAATGAGAAGAGACTAAACAGACAACAGGTGGGAGAAAATATTTTCCAGTAATGTATCTAACATAGGACTTGTATCTAGAACATGTACTGACCCTTCCACCTCAACAGCAACGAAATGAACCACCAGCAGTGAGATGGACAAATGATCTGAATGGACATTTCTCCAAAGGAAGACAGATGAATAGCCAATAAGCGTCATCAGCCGCCAGGGAAATGTAAATCAAACCACACTGAGACACCACTTCGTGCCCACCTGGATGGCGGCCACCAGACAGGCAGTGGTGAATGTCGGCGAGCTGGCGGAGAGACTGGGGCTTCTCCAGGCAGGTGGGAATGTGAACCAGCCACCAGAAGTCCGTCTTAAGGTAACTGTGATTGAAAAACCCCATCATCATATTGCAAGAATTTCACTATTGAGCTGAAAACTATAAGAAAAGGAACCAAATGGAAATACAAGGACTGCAAAATACAATCCCTGAAAATAAGAACTAAAATAATGGGTTTATGAGTAAACTCAATGCTCTTGAAGAGTATGAACTAGATGATGGGTTGGAAAGAAATATTCAAATGGAAGGGCAGAAAGAGAAAAGAGATTAAATATACTGGAAAACAGACTTCAAAATATACTGGATATGGTAAAATTAAAAAAAAAAACCCTACCATGTGTAACTGGAGTTATATTTTTCACAGCTCAGTGACAGAAGGAAAAAGCAATGATACCTCCCTTGCTGGCCGAGGACACAGTGAAAAACACTGGTTATTGCGGGTGCCAGTGCCGCGGGAAGGCATTCTGCAATACATATTAAGAATCAACATCTCAGGGCGCCTGGGTGGCTCAGTTGGTTAAGCGTCTGACTTCAGCTCAAGTCATGATTTCACGGTTCGTGGGTTCAAGCCCTGCATTGGGTTCTGTGCTGACAGCTGGGAGCCTGGAGCCTGCTTCGGATTCTGTCTCTCCCTCTCTCTCTGCCCCTCCCTGGCTCGTGCTCTGTCTCTATCTCAAAAATAAATTTAAAAAATAAAAATAAAAAAGAATCAACATCTCCACTCTGGACCAGTACACTCCCAGTTTTCTGAGCTTTTGCATATAAATGGTCATTTGTAAATTAATGGAAATAACCATAGATCCAGCAACAGGGGAATGAAAATCACACCCACCCAAAAGATTACCGCACAGTCAAAAAATATATATATTGGACACAAAGGCTCTGAAGCAACATGGATATGAGACTAAGTATAGTGCATCTGATTATACAGAGACGGCTTGGGAAAAGAGCCAGAAATTACATCACAATGTGGATGATGTGTTTTCCATCCATCAGCTTGTCAAAAACATGTAAAGTGTGATAACATTCAGGGGAACAAGTGTGGGCAAACACTACACTCATTTATTCCTGGTCGGAGCATAAACGATGTAGCCACTTAGGAGGGTGCTTTGCCTTTCTGTATCAAAGTTAATTTCATACATAGCCTTTGACCCAGTAATTACTTAGCTAGAATTGCACCCTTTGCAAATGTAGCAGAAACCTATCCAAAAATGGAGGTATAGAAATGTTCACTAAGCTTTGTTTGTAGGGCAAAGAAGCAGAAAAATTTGGATTTCTAGAAACAAAGAATTGGTTAAGTAAGTTACGGCTTGGTCTCTTGAAAAAATAATATGCCAGATTTTTTTAATGAGGTCACTTTGTAGGTGTTGATATGGAAATATTACCAATATTTTTTATTAAATGATAAAGTCAAGATGCAGAATGTTTTGGGGTGGTATAATTTTGTATATGTATACGTGTCCACACGTACACTTAATATGAGTAGATAAGGTTGAAAAAAATACTGGAGGTCAGAAGGGGTTGGGTCACAGGGGGGAAGGACTAATTTTTTTGCATTTTAAGAAAAGAGATAATTATAGCTTTACATGCACATGTAAGAAACAATACAGAGACTTTTGCCTTGTTTCTGCCCAGGGGAACATTTTGTAAAACTATCATATATTATTTACAGCCTTAAAATGTCAATTACACTGACATTGGTAAGTCTTCGAATCTTACTCAGGTCCCTCCAGTTTTCCTTGTTGTGTGTGTGTGTGTGTGTGCGCGCGTGTACTAAGTTCTATGCAATTCTATCACTCCTGAAGTTTCACATCTCCATCGTCACAAAGACCATGAACGGGGACATCTGGGTGGCTCAGTCACTTAAGCTTCCGACTTCGGCTCAGTCATGATCTCGCGGTTCATGGGTTTGAGCCCCGCGTCGGGCTCTGTGCTGACAGCTTGGAGCCTGGAGCCAACTCCAGATTCTGTGTTTCCCTCTCTCTCTGCCCCTCCCCTGCTCATGCTCTGTCTCTCTCTGGCTCTAAATAAATAAATAAATAAAATTTTAAAAAAAGACCATGAACAGTTTCAAATCTACAAGGATCTCTCAGCCCTTTTATAAGGTCTCACTCACTTCAATCCTACAGAGGAAGGACTTTTACTTATGCAACATCTGACAACCTGCTAGACTTTCTAGAAAACCATAACGTGTATCACCACCGTTAGGTGGGACAGAAGTTAGCTGGGTGGAGGGATTCCTTCCTCACGCTGCTCTTTGCTTTAGACAGTGAATAAATACTAGCAAACCGCTGGGAATGGTGGCATCTTGCCCAATTCTTTCTTCTATTCTCAAAACTTCCTGGAGCCTGGGAACGTTGCATTTACAGGCAGGGAAGGATGCACGGGTCCCGCCTACCTCGCGCTTGAGCTGGTCCCGGAGGCGGGTGGCTTCCCCATGTGAGACCTGCAGCTCCCGGTGGGCCGATGCCTGGTCTCTGAGCTGGCAGCGCAGGGTCAGCACCTGGTGCTGGAGGCGCCCGACGCACAGCCTGAGGTCGTCTCGGGGGGCGTCCGCCTCCAGGTCCCGCCGCTGTAGAAATCACAGATCTGCATGAAACACTCAGGTTAGCTCATCTTCCAAAGTGATTTGCCTTCATAAGCGCATAGGACCCCTTTTCCTTCTTAATTCTTATTCTGTTTACATTTTTTTTTCAGGTTAAAACACTTTAGAAAATAAAGTAGCAGAAATCGCTCCACATCCTATTAGCCAGAGGAAGCATTATGTTATTGTCTGTATATTTTCTCTGGTCTTTCTGCTATGCCCTTCCTCATGCCTGTGCATGTGTGAGGGGGGCCCATTGAGCGGAGGGTGTTGGGAGGAGCCTACGGAATCAGAGAATAACATTCTAGAGTGTGATTTTCATATATATGTATATAAGATATGTCTATATCTATATCTTTTGCACATTGCTTCAAAAAATATGCAAAATGGCATGGCATTCCAGAATCTATTTCAATTGATTTCAGTCACCACTCTGCTGAAAAAAAAAGTATAATGAATGGAATTTAAGGTTCAAATCCAATTATGAGATGCTTATTCCATTAAAGCATCATCTGTTTATATAAAAGAGGAAACCACATTTTCCCCACTTTTCTTAAATCAGAACAAAATTGTCTCTCACTCTTTCTGGGTCAGACATGGGCGGCTTTCATTTGGACATTATGGGTAATTTCTGGGAGGGAGAGAGGCAGAAGGAGAGTAAGTTAGCACTCTGGAAAGGGCCATGGAATAGTATGATGGCACCATCCCCGGGGTTCTGGATTCTAAAGTTTTATTTTTTACTAACACACACACACACACACACACACACTTTTTTTCCTACATAACATTTAACATACCGTATCTATCTTTTGTATTCCTGCCTTTCCCCTTTAATACCATATCATGAGCATTTTTCCGTATTAGTAAAGAATGCTGAAAGCTGTTAGCACACATGGAACATTCTGCGACCTGCTAAATGCGCAGGTCATTCTTTTTTTTTTTTTAAATGTTTTATTTATTTCTAGGAGAGAGAGATAGACAGTGTGAGCAGGGGAGGGTCAGAGAGAGAGGGAGNTGTGAGCAGGGGAGGGTCAGAGAGAGAGGGAGTCACAGACCGAAACAGGCTCCAGGCTCTGAGCTGGCAGTCAGCACAGAGCCCGACGCAGGGCTCGAACCCACAAACCGCGAGATCATGACCCAAGCGAAAGTCGGACGCTTAACCGACTAAGCCACCCAGGCGCCCCTGGGTCATTCTAAGATTTTGCCACTGCAGCTGAGGCTGTGATAAAGGCCCCTACACATCACTACTCACAGACTCTGAGTCCCTCCCTGGGATCATCAGAGAGGGGATTTTCTGGGTCCGGGGCCCAGAGTATCATTAAGCTCAGTTCACGTCCTAAAGTGGCCCGTGAAGGAGCAAGCCTCCTAGTCACCGGGCTCCATTTGCAGAAACCTCGAAGCTCCGAAGCTTCCCGGACTCTCGTCCTCAGTGGTGGCAGTCCACCTTTCATCAACGGCAGCCACCCTGGGAATGTGAGGCCTGGGAAGGTCACCTCTGCCTCGTGTCCCTGGCCCCGGGCTGGGAGAGGAGGGGAGAAAACCGTGTAAGGACACAACCCACGTGCCTTGCGGCTGATGAGGCCTCCCCCTCCTTAGCAAGGAATCCGCGAGGAGAATGTGGTTTTCTTCTCATTAATAGCAATGCACAGAGCGTGGGCCTGAGATGCGCAGGCTGGGCCCTGTCAAGAACAGATGGGTCTCCGAATGGTCCCATGGAATCCAGTTCTAAGACTTGCAAAACAACTTGGCCTTTCTGGGAAGTCTGGTGCCTTCACTGCATCCCCCCCACCCACGCTCTCCCCTCTATGACTTGGACGAGGGCTTCACCCCAAGGACCCCAAGAGAAAACCCCCAGTGCGTTCTAAAGGGAATCAAGGGGTGGGGTGGGGGCCAGCCCTGCCTGCCACGTGGCAGCAGCCTTGTGAACGGCCCCGTGACCCACTTGTTCCCTAACGGACGTTATCAGCACAGGCTCCGGCCACTGCTCCGCTTGGGCTGAGGGCCACGGTGCACATGGCCTCAGGGAGCTCTGTCTGCTGGGGAGACTGACACGGCGTGGAGAGGGGAAGCCAGGAGGCACTAAACCAGAGGCACCCAGACATGCGGTGGCAAATGTATCACAACTGTAGCATTTGCTGACTTCTGTGGAGTAAAGCCACAACAGGCTATGAATATGAGGTCATGCCTCTGTCCTGAGCACCCCCCTCCGGGGCACTGGGAGGAGACGCTCCCCCCCCCCGAGAAGACCCTGAGGCTGAGCAGCAGGTCCCAGGAGGAAGCTGGGGTCGAGGAGGGGCAGAGCAGACGCCAGCGTGCCCAGGGCAGGATGCACACGGCAGTAGCGAAGGCTCCCGGGGCCGTGATTACAACGCACCAGAAGGAAGCTGCAATTCACGCCAAGAGCAAGAGGAAGAGGCGGAAGGATTTTAAGCAAAAGAACAACAGGATCGAGTGTTGACTTAGGATGATGGGAAGGGGAAGCTTGTTCACCCTCTGCCTCCTGGGCATCAACAAACCTCATTTCTTTCAACTCTGGTTTTTGTCTGGAATCCTCCCTTCCTTTAGCGCCAAATCCCTCCTCCCTGGCATCGTGTCTTGGCTTCGTGTCTTGACTGCAAAGTTGTCCTGACTGTTCCTCTGTATCCACCTGGCCGTTTGCCTCACAGCAGACAGGGATCTTTTTACAGAAGAAATTGAACCATGTTCTCCCGCTTAGCACCCGCCAGCGGCCTCCCACTGCAGTGACAAAGGATCATAATGGGGGCTGCAGGCTGTCCCGGCTCTGCCTCATCTCACGCCACACCCCACCCTTGCGCACATGATCTCACCACGCCGGTTCCTCTGTTTTTCCAGCGAGCCGGGCTCACTCCTGCCCCAGGGCCTTGACACTTACTTCTCCCTCTTCCCAAAAACCTCTCTGTCTGCTGTTCCTTTCCCATCTGGAAATGCTCAGGGTGATATTCCTCTCCTCTGAGTCCAGTCCCCAGCAGGTCTGAGCAGCTGAGACTGGACAACTACAGAATCTGGGGAAATGCATAAAACAATTCTTTGCGAGCATTGAATGGCAGCCAAGGCAGGGCTACAATCCTTGAGGAAAAGGATGTGCCCCAGGGGAAGCTCCATTTCTCCCTGGAACCTAGGCTGAGTGGTGGTCCTGCTAGACGGAGGGCTCAAGAGGATGGAGTTCAGAGGTGCTCTGATAGCGGGGTCTGTGGAACAAAGTAACAGGAAGGGGAGCACCAGGTACTGCCCTAGAAATGCCTCCTTCGGCCCTGGACTGAGTCCTAAGCTGAGCAGTATCGTGCAGGACTCTGGGGCCTCACTGAGGGGAGAAGCTGGAGGCCAATTGCTGAAGAGACTTCAGAGATTGCGCACTGTCACCAAGATGGCAGACTTCTGGCCAAACCCAAATTGAGTGTCCCCGGTGAATACTCAGGGGCCTCAGCTGCTACCACTGACTGAAAGGCGAGGCCCCAGGAACAAGATCCACACTGTAGGAGGAAAATCAGGCCCTAGGACTGGGTTGAAAGTCACATACACCTACACAGGAATGATCTGGTCTGCTGATCATCCCACGACCTTCCAGGACAAGACACACTCAACATCCTCTAGAGGGAGCTAATAATCTGGAATCTCTACCACATCTCATCCTACACGATGTCCAACATAAAAAAATGTTCAAAAATTACTAGACACACGAAGGAGCTGGAAAATGGGACTTGACGAAGAAACAAACAGTCGATTAAAACAGACCCAGAGATATCTAGATATAGGCATTAGCAGATAAGACCTTCAAAATAACTCTGATTATATATTTTTTTAAATATAGAAAATATTGGGGCACCCGGGTGGCTCAGCCAGTTAAGCATCTGACTTCGGCTCAGGTCACGATCTTGTGGTTTGTGGGTTTGAGGCCTGTGTCAGGCTCCATGCTGACTGCTCAGAGCCTGGAGCCTGCTTCAGATTTTGTGTCTCCCTCTCTCTCTGCTCGCGCTCTGTCTCTTTGTCTCTCAAAAATGAATAAACGTTAAAAAGCTTTTTTAATATAGGAAAGATAGATGAAATAAACAAAAAGATGGGAGTATTTCAATAGAGTATCAGAATCTCTATAAAAAGGGATCAAATGGATATCCTAGAGCCACAGAATAGAACAAATAAAATGAAGAACTCATTGGATGAAATTATCAGAAGATACAACACAAGAGAACACAGAATTAGTGAACTAAACAACAGGTCAATAGAAAATCCAAACTAATACACAGATAATTTTTAAAAAGGAAAAAACACAACAGTTTCCAAGGATGTAGGATATAGTCAAAAAGTCTGGATTTCTAGGGGCACTTGGGTGGCTCAGTTGGTTGAGCATCCGACTCTGGCTAAGGTCATGATCTTGTGGTTTGTGGATTCAAGCCCCACGTCAGGCTCTGTGCTGACAGCCAGCTCAGAGCCTGGAGCCTGCTTCAGATTCTCTGTCTCCCTCTCTCTCTGACCCTTCCCTGCTCACGCTGTCTCTCTCTCTCTCTCTCTCTCTCTCTCAGAAATGAATAAAAACATTTAAAAAAAATTTTAAAGTCTGGATTTCTAGGAAATGAGGGAAAAATAGGACAGAACAAAATACTTCAATAAATAATGACCCAAAATTCACCACATATGATAAAAGAACAAAACCTTGAATCTACAATTTTAAGACACTCAGAAAAATGCAAGCAGGGTCCATATAAATAAAACCACACCAGGCACATCACAGTCAAACCGCCAAAACCCAGAGACAAGAAGGAAATCTTAAAACAGTCAGAGATAAACTAATACATTGATTTCAGAAACACAAAATCAAGCAGAAAAAAACTATGACAAACACAACCAATGTTGAACAGAGACTATGGGAGGCAGAAGGCAATGAAATGCAATCTTCAAAGATCCAAAAGAGGGGAACTATCTGCCTGCCTAAACTTCTGAACCCAGATCCTCACCAGGAGAAATCACCAAGTTCTTCAGGCAGAAGGAAAACATATCCCAGGAATGGAAGCAAGAATGCACAGCACAAGAACACAAGGAGGTTAGTAAATGTAGAAGGTCATTGCTTGTTTTAAACAAGTAACCAACCTTGTGACATTTATTATACATAGACATAGTATATATGATAAAAATGAGAAAAAGAAGAAAGGGTAAACGGAGATAAACTATTAAAATGTTTGCATTATTCATTAAAATTATTTATTTGGGACTTCTATACTACAGGGTAAAAGTACTAAGGCAAGGAAGGTACATGTAAATAATTAATAGATACATTTTTAAATCTCTAGGGTAAATACTGAAAACATGAGGAGCAGAATGAGCTAATGAAGAAGAAAAATGAATCATGGAAAATAGCTATTAATACCAAAAGCAAAGGCAAGAGAGGAGAAATAGAACAGAGAACAAAAACCCAATTCTAGCATCGCGCACACAAAATGTATGTGGACTAAACACCTCAACTGAAAGGCAGAGGCTGTGAAACTGAGCTAAGCAAACACACACCAACTACATGCTGTTTCAAAGAAACACACTTAAAATATAAAGATGCCCATAGGCTGACTGCAAAAGGGTGAATGGTATAAAAGAAATTGGATTCCATGAAAACACTAAGGGAAAGAAGCTGATGTGCCTACTTTATTTTTGTTAATTATTTTAATGTTTATTTATAATTGAGAGAGAAAGACAGAGCACGAGCAGGGGAGGGACAGAGAGGGAGGGAAACAGAATCCGAAGCAGGCTCCAGGCTCTGAGATATCAGCACAGAGCCCAATGCAGGGCTCAAACCCACGAGCTGTGGGATCGTGACCTGAGCCAAAGTTGGGCACTTATCTAGCTGACCCACCCAGAAGTCTCTGATGTGCCTACTTTAACATCAGACAGAGTGCAATGTGGGCAAGAAGGGTGAGAGATAATGAGGAACATTTCATCATGATCAAAGAATCAAGTCAGCCGGAAAACATAATTTTAAGTCTGCATGTATCTTATGAATAGTTTCCAGGGACACTTGGGCGGCTCAGTCTGTTGAGTGTCTAACTTCAGCTCAGGTCATGATCTCACGGTTTTGTGACTTTCGGCCCCTAAGCGGGCTCTGCACTGACAGCAAGGAGCTGACCTCAGATCCTCTGTCCTCCCCTCTCGTTCTCTCTGTCCCTCAAAAATAAGTAAACATTAAAGAAAATTTCCAAATATATGAATCAAAACTAACTTAACACCAAGAAGATATACACAAATCTCTGCAAGACATTGCAAAGATATCTGGGTAAATAACAAAACAAATGGACAGAATGTTGGCAAAGACAAAGAAGATCCGATCAGCACAATTAACCAGTTTGGACTAATCACAGTCCTCAAGAACTGTGGAATATTCATTCCTTCCAAGGACTGCCAGGATATTTACCGAAATAGACTATAACCTGCTCAACAGAACAAATCTCAAACTTTAAAACAAAACAATAAAGTCTATGTGTTCTGACAACAGTGAAATAAAACTATATATCGGTAACAAAAACATAACTAAAAAAATTCAGCAGGTGCTTGGAAATTCGGCAACACACGTCTAAATAACCCATGGGCCAAGAGAGAGGCCACAAACCGAAGTTAGAAACCACTCTGAACTGGATAGATGTAAAAGCACAACATATCAAAATGTGAGGAACGTAGCCGAAACTGTGCTCGGCGAGAATTATACAGGTTTATGTGCACAGATCACAAAAGAAGAACAGCTGAAAATCAATGATCTAAGCTTTCAACACAAGATGCAAGAAAAGGGGCAGCCAACTAAATCCAAAGAAGTGGAAGAAAGGAAGCGATGAAGTCCGGTGAAAGAAAATACAGACATACAATGAAGAAAATCAGCAAAACCCAAAAAGAATCCCCTGCAATGAATGATAAAATAGCTACAGAGAGAGAGAGAGAGAGAGAATGAATATGACTGGATACAAAGGGTTCAATGCTAAATGTCTTAACAGATTCGCAAGACCACTGTGAGAGTGGAGAGCACTGCTTCCTGGGATTCCTGAATATCCAGTACCATCCACACGTGTGGACAAGCACTCGGGGAAGCACGTGTCTTGGCCAAATCGCAGATGTGGTAAGTACAGAGCTGGGTTTGGGCTCCGAGTGAGTCCCAAAGCCCCTGCTCTTTCCATTGTCCCTTTCGAGACCCAACGCAGAGCCTGATGGAGCTGTTACCAAACTATGGTGGTGATCATACTGAAACACATAAATGTTTCAAGTCAACAGGTTATGCATCTTAAAGCTTATACAATGTTTTACGTCAATTATATCTTTAAAGAGAGAGAGAGAGAGAGATAGACCTAATGTGCAGAATTAGGACCTGGACTGCTTAAAAATATCTCATGGATCTAAAATATGAGCCCCCCCCTTTTTTAACCTTTTTAATGTTTATTTATCTTTTAAGAGAGAGAGTGTGTGTGCGCAGGGGAGGAGCAGAGAGAGGGAGACACAGAATCCGAAGCAGGCTCCAGGCTCAGAGCTGTCAGCACAGAGCCCCACAAACTGGGAGATCACGACCTGTGCTAAAGCGGGACACTTAACCGACTGAGCCACCCAGGTGCCGCTGAACATGCGAGTTCTGATGTTAAAGTTGAACATGACCCCCTCCACCGCCGTCCCACTGGACACCCATCTAAATAGCCTGCGCGTGGCGGCAGACTGGAGTCTCAGGTTGTGCGCAGGAAGGGACCACCCAGGTTGGAGTCCAGCCTTCCTGCCGCCTGACTGCCTGAGTTACTTAAACTTCCGGGTGCCTGCGTTCTCACATCTGCTAAATGGGGATGATGATCATCCCTCTGAGGGCTGCCAGAGGCTCCCCGGGGAAAGGGGATGGCCCGCACTCTATGATGGTGAGTAGGCACCTACGCGCGATCAACCTACCTGGGGGCCGTTGCCCAGGGCCCTCAGAGCTTGCCCTGGGTCTGCAGAACTCCACGGCCTTTTCCCCTCCGTTTCCAAACATGCTTCTTCCACTCCTGCTCCACCGATGTTTCCCCGCGGAGCACTGGGTGCTTCGGTACTTCCCCACACCAGCGTCGACACGGCAGAATTGGCATCATCTCCGGAATTCTCCGGGCCCAAGGAAGGGCCCACGCACCTCTCAGCCAGACCCGGTTTCTCCCCCAAGGACGGCCTGTGGACTCCTGCGGTCGGTTGCCCTGAAAGCTGAGTCACCTGCACCCCCCTTTCCACAGCACTCCCCTTGGCCCCCACCATCTTGCTTTCCCCCTGTGGACCCTCCTCGGCCCTCACCAAGCGGCCCTCTGCTGTGCTGGCCCCCAACGCGACCTCTGTCTCCAGGACGCGGACCCTGCTCAGAAGATGGGCGTTCTCCCCCCTGAAGGCCTGGGCCGTGTCTTCTATCCCCAGCAGCACGCCCTTCATCAGCTCCTTGTAACTGACCCCGAGCTCCGAGATCAGCGCCTTGAGCTCACGGTTTTCCAGCGTGATGTGCTCCATCACGCCTTTGGATTTCCTGATGCTCCCGGCCATGGCTTTCTGAAGTTGGGCCAGGTGCCCTTTCAATTGCTCGTTTTCCTCCTCGAGCTCAGAAATTTTGCCGTAACTTTTCCCGTTGCAGTCTTCCAGGTCCGAAATGACCCGCCGATACTGGTCCAGCTCTGTCTCCAACTGAGAGACGTCCCCTAAGAGCTTGCTGTTTTCCTGTTCGAGCGCGGCTATCTTCGTCACATCTCTCTCCCTCTCTCTCTCGAGGGCGCATGCTTTTCTACGGCATCTCTCCCGGTCGCCCTGTGGCTTGGCATCGTCATGTGACACTTGGCTTCTCTCTTTTTCTAGCCTGGAAATGAGCTGGCCGTCAAGGGCTCCTAGTGGCTGAGAGGGCTGGATTTCCCCCAGCCTGGAGGGCCACTCTGGGCCTGGACACACATCATCCAAATGAGGCACTATCCGTGGAAGAAGGGCACTGGCTCCCAGGACCCCCGTCCCTCTCGGTCTGACCTCTTCACTAGTCCCCCCGGCTCTGACCTCCCTGGCCAAACAAATATCTGAGCCCTGATTTGCCAAAGCCTGCTGGGAGTGAGCACTCTCCTGGCAGCTGGGCTGTTTCCGAGCCACGCTCCCGCTCTCTCCGGCCACCATGGAGGTTGGCCACCGTCGCCCCCTGTCCCCATGCTCTGGGATGGAGAATTGCTGGAAAGAAGCTTTTACCTCCTTTTCAGAGTCATCTGTTCTGAGCTCAGATCTGTCAGGTCCTTGGCTCAGAGCCCAGGGATTACTGGGGGGCTCCATTCCCCTGGGTGGAAAGGCCAATCGGGCAGACAGTGTCAGATCTTGGTCTGTCACCAGGAAGAGGGTTTCCTGGTGCTCACATTCCTCGGGGCCAGGCTCCCCTGGGACATCCCTGTGGCCCAGAAGAGACCCTTCTAGAAGGGATGCCTTCTCCTCCTTCTCTTCTTGCCTTTGGTCCCCAGGGCTTCCTGCTTGCAGATCCAGAGCGTTTCCAGACCACACACGTGTTTCCTCCTCGCCCGGCCGTGCAGGGAGCTGAGCGCCTGCTGGAGACCACCCCTGGGAGCCCTGGGCCCTGGCTGGAGGGGCCTCTTCCTCCTCTGATGATGAAAGCCACCTCTCCCTCCGCCCCCTGCTCAGGGGTGTGGGGCCCTCAGCTGACACTGAGGCCTCCCCCTGCAGAAGCAGCAATGGGAGCTCTGGCCTGGGCCCAGGGCAGGGGGCGGAGGGCTGGGTTTCTGAAGCCCCATTCTTGATGGACACGCCCCCTGGGGCTCTGATTCTAGCCCTCCGGCTCCAGTAGTCTCGGCTTTCCTGACTTAGCTTGCTCTCGTCACCGAGGTCTTCCTCCTTCCTGCCCTGAGTCCTCCTCGCCCCCTGCTCCCCAGTTCTCCACTCTGGGGGCCCTCCCTCCTCCTTCCAAGGATCTTTCAAGTCTCTGGGTGCCTTGAATTGGTGACTTGCGATCGGTGAGGGCTTGGTGCAGGGGGAGGCATTCTGGCTGCTCGCCCAGCGGTGATCGCGGCAGGCGGGTCCTCCGGCTCTGGGAGCAGGTGGGAACCCAGCGTCCAGCACCCGTCGCACCTGGGATTCCGGTGGAGAAGCCTCCCGGAGCAGTGGCGGTGGCGGCAGGGCAGGGGGGTCCCCAGCCGGTCCCCAGGGAGGGAGTGTGGACGTCCGCACCAGGACCTGGACAGCAGCTAGCCTCTGCTCTGAAATCCAGGCCAGCTCAACAGGGAGGAGTGAGCCATCCCCAGGGGGGCAGCCACGGATGAGGAGAAGAGGCTGCTCATCCAAGCGGGGCTCAGCTGGAGGCTGCTAGGGATGGGAAGAGAAGAGGAGAGAAGAAAAGGGGTGAAACAGCTCCTTGCTCTGTTTAGTCCCCATACCTCTCAGACCTCATCTCCTGATGCTCTCCGTGCTTCCTCATCCAGCCACAGAGGCCTCTCTAACACGCCAAGCCTGGCACCACCCCAGGGCCTTTGCACCTGCCCTTCCCTCTGCCCAGAATATCCTTCCCCAGATCCCCTCATGGTTTACTCTCAGTCAACTCATATCTCTGCTCACATGTTACTCCTCGAGAAGCCCCTGCCCACTTCCCCACTGTTCATGCTCCCCTTTTCTGTGCCCCCCAACATTCTACTGCACAGGTACACGGCATCGTCTAACCCCCTCAGCCCTGCGTGTCCAATATGGAAGCCACAGGCCACTGGCCACGTTTCAAGAGCTCAGAAGCCGGCGGCGCATGGCTCCTCTACTGGGCAGCACAGGGGTAGAACATCTCCATTGTCGTGGAAGACCCTAGGGGGCAGGGCGGTGTAGACTCTTTGCTCCTAGACCAGAGCCAGGCCCACAAGGCACATGTGCACAGTGCACGTATCCAGCTCACAGGCTGGGCTGGGGCTGGGCTGCTGGGAGGGAGGGGGCCTGGGAGGGGAAGCTTGTCTCCCTGGAGACCAACAGCCCCACGGCCCCCTCTCACTGCTGGTCTCTGCCTGCGGGCCTTCCCCCCCCACCGCCACCCTGCCCCGCCCCATCTGCTGTCTGTCCCTGTGCACCTGACCTTGGAACTCTGTCCCTCCACTGCTGTCCACCTTTTCCGGGTGCCCTCCCTACTGCACGCACAGCCTGCAGTGCCTTCTCACTTTGGGTGGGATCCAGCACAGCACGTGCAGGGGCCCCGGAGCGGGACGTGAATGAACCACAGAACCACGGCGGGGCTGGGCGTCCCTGGCGCTGGCCTGAGCGTGTCTCTGTTCCGTGGCACGAGATGGCAGCGGACTTGAGAAGCCACAGAGCAGGGGACGGCGGAGGGGACAGCGTGGTGCGGAGTGTGGGCTCAGCAGACAGGAACTCGGGGTGCACCTCCGGGGCTGTGAGGCCTTGGGAAACCACAGCAGCTTTGGGGATCCCGCGTTCCCCTCCCCCAGACCAAGGCTCGCGGCTCCCACCCCAGGAGTGGGAGGCGGTTTCAGTGAGATGCGTGCGTGGTGTGGCAGCCAGGCCTGGGCACCCCGTCGGGGCTCCCCTGCCTGCCCACTCCCCACCCAGGTCTCAGGCTGTTACCTTCCCTCTCCTCCAATCTCCCTCTCAATTATTTCCAGAATGTTCTTCCAAGCCCTTCTTTAGCCCCTTCTCCCCCCTACCACGCGCCGTGGGGCTAGAGCCCTGGGCTCCCAGAAAGCCTCTGGCCTCACCCGTCTGCCGTCAGAGCCTGTGATGTCTTCCAGGGACCCGTCTGTGGTGTCCAGGCCTTGCCCGGCCCCGGCCCCAGCACAGTCCCAGGAGCAGCGCCCCTCGGAGAGCCAGCCTGGAGGCGAGAGGACCCCAAGAATTAAAGAGACCCTCCTAAGGCTGTTCTCACAACCACCGCAAGCAGCGGAGTCACCTGCTCTCAGGACCTCCTGGCGCTTCTCACAGACTCAAGTCCTCTGAGCCTGAGACAGCTGGTGGCCGCCACCTGCCCGGCGAAGAAACCAAGGCGCGGAGAGGGGGAGAGACCACCCCTGCTGACCACAGAGCTCACCCCGGGATACCCGCCTCAGCCTCTACCCCACGGTCACACGCCCCTGCCCCGCCCCCAGCCCTACGCGGTGGCCTGCAGTCGAAGGGGGGCGCTAGACTTCACCACAGACAGCTTCCCTCCTCCTTCCTCCAAGGACAAATCTGACCCTGTCTGACTGGCCAACGCTGCTCCCCAGGAACAGGATGGGGGAGGGAGGAGTGTCAGGGGCCCGTCGCCGGCACCACTGGGTGTAAGGAACCCCCTCATCCGGAAACTGCGTTTGGCCTCGGGAGACTGTCCGTAAGCCAGACAGCGAGTCGGACATCGTGGCTTTGGGGTTCCCCAGGCGCCACGGCTTTTGGAACAGAGACCCCAGAAGCCCTGCTCACGACTGTCACCAGACACACACATGCCCTCTAGGGACAACTTAGGGACCAGTTAGGGACAAGGGGCTCTGAAGCCCTCGCAGCTCCCAGACTTCGCACCTGTCTCACAGCTGAGCTGGCAAGGGGTGGGGGTGGGGGACGGAATCGTTGTTACACGGTCTTCTGCCAAGGCACCCCCTCCTGAGGCCCCGGCTGGCCCGTGCCAGAACAGCGTCACCTGGCTGGCACCCTTCTGAGGGCAGAGGGGGTGAGCCCAAGTCAAGGGGCTTGTCCTGGACATTGCACGCCCTGATCCCACCTCTTCGAGCTGTGTGGCATCAAGCAAGTGACACCACCTCTCTGAGCCTTAGCTTCCTACCTGTGGAAGGGGGCAGTCACACCCCACCCCCGGCACACCGGCATGGCCTAGGGGAGCTAGGCCGCCAGCAGAGGTCCATGCGGGCACCCACACACCACAGCACCCACTCACCTGCCAAGGCTCCCGGTCCAGGGGCACGGGCGGAGCAGAGGGAGGTTTGCGAGCTTCGGCTTCGGCGGGCATCCAGGGTGTCCACCCTGGGCAGGGGCAGCGGCTCATCCCCAAGCTGGTTCAGGGCATCCTTGAGGAAGACACAGGAGAGAGCGGTGAGGACACTCCTCCAGGCCCAGCCAATGACTCAGGAGGGAGCTGGGTCCCCAGCTGAGAGCAGAGGTCACGGGGCCTGACCCCAGCTCCGCGCTCTTGGTCCTCAGGCCAACCCACTCCAATCAGCAGACCATGAGACGCAACCTCAGTTCTCCGAGGAGATGTCTGTCCAGCCAAGACGGCCCTGGGCTGCCTAGTGTGGCTCCAAAGGCTCCCGGTCCCCTCTATTTCCTGAAGGTCCCTCTGTGTCCCACCAGCAGAGGCGGGTGCCTACCCAGGTCCCCCAGGCGGTACTGTCCCTCAATCGCCAACAAGTCCCAAATGTTGCAAACACAAGGGCACCCCCTCCCCAGCCTCTCCCGAGAGGCAAGCTGGCTGTGCAGTGAGAGCTTCCCCGAGCCGCCCCCGCCCCCAGGACATCATTTAGGAACAGCTCAGCTCTGACCCACCATCCACGAGGGGCTGGCGACAAGTCCCCTCCGGCTTCCCACGGCCCCTGCTGCTTGAAACCAGGTTCTAATGGGCGCTCTTTGCTTCTCCCCCTGCCTCCCCGCTAGATCCGGAGTCCTTTAAGCCTTCCACTTGGCCTCACGTGGTCGGCACCCTCGCCTTAGCCTTGGCACACACTAGGTGCCCAATAAATGTCTGATAGATGGATAGGCAAAACTTGCAAAAAGATAGGTATTCAGCACTTACTCAGTAGGCACTTATTAAGCTCCGACTGTGCATCAGGTGCTATTCTAGATGCAGGGGAAACGGAGGTGAGCAGGTAACACCGTCCCCCTGCCCCCTGCCCCCAGACGCTGACTCCTAGCTGCTCCCCGTATCCCGCTCACTCGCAGTACCAGGGAGGCCCCCTAGCTTGCACTCTCCCACCTACAAGGCCTCCAGGGGTGGCTCCCCTCCAGGCTGGGATCAGTTCAATGTAAGCTACTGTCAGCCATCCACAGACTGTCGGGGGCGGGGGGGGGGCATCGATACTCCTCACTCGCTGCTCACGGGGGCCTCCCTGCCCCCCCCCAGCCTGGCTCCTGCCTGCCTCTGCACCTCCGCATACGCTGTTCCTCCTGCCTGGCTGCACGTCTTCCCAGGAAGGGTGTGCGAGGGTTGCCCGCACCTCTCTCTCTGCCCCTCCCTGGCACACCTGGCTCGGTAGCGGAGCGATCCCACCCCCGGCCCCACCCTGGGGAAATGGAAACCGGATCAGCTTGCTGTCCTGTCTCCAATGTCCCGCTTCCTGCAGCTGTGCAGAAAGAAAACCCCTGCCCGGCCCCACTGCCCTCGCCCTCATTCTGCTCCTTAACGGGACCCTCCTCCCCCGACCTTGCCTCAGAGCCCCGCACCCCTAGCGCCTTCCGCCTGCCTCTCTGTCCATCTCTCTGACTCTCTCCGGGCTCAGCCTAAAGGCCGCATCTTCAACAAGGCCTTCCCAGGCCCTCCCCCAAATTAAGCCCCTCCCCCTCACTCTCTGGGTTTGGGGACTTCTGGGTGATGTCACATCTAGCGTCCTCTCAGACCACAGACCTTAGAATTCTCCAGAAGCTTTGCCACAAAGCGGGGCCTCAGCCCAAAGCCACCGAAGCCAGAGGGGCCCTGGTGCCGGATTGTGTTCTGTGCGCGGGGCCTGCGGGGCCGCCGCGCTCGGTGCCGCTTCTTGCATTTACCCACTTGTTTCCCAGCTGCTCAGAATGAAGCACTTCTGTCAGCAGCTTAAAATCACCACCAGAAAGAGGTGGAGAAGGGAATGGAGGAGAGAGAGAGGGTGGAGGAGAAAGGAGGTGAGAGAAGGTAATGCGAGGAAGAGGAGGGAGCAGGATGGAGAACGGGAGAGACAGAAGCTCCCAAGGGAGTGAGCAGGAGCCCAATGTCAAGGGGGAGGAGGAAAGAACAGAGAAGGAGAGGCCGGGAGGGCAGCGTCGGAGGCCAGCACGGCCGCACTGATCGCTTCTGTGTGGATTTCGTTCTGATGCACAAGTTGACTTCAATTTGGTTCAACAAATACCTGCCGAGCATCAGCTAAGTGACAGACCCTGTTCTGGAGCCGGGGACAAAACACAGGCCCCCACCTCGGGGAGGCCACTTGGTGGGGGAGGGGGACATCCTAGAAGAAGATGCATCACACCCTTCATTTCACAAGTGACAAAATCACTACTCAGAGAGGGAGAATGACTTGCCCAAGGTCACACAGCACTCACAGCGAGAGATCAGAACCAGAGCTCGGGTCTTGAACCGGATCTGGGCTTCCTCTGTCCTTCCCTGCCCACCCCCCTCTGCTCAGTCTCGTCAACCCTCCCAGTCTTTCAGTGCTCAGGGGAGTGGCGACCCCAATTTTACATGACTTCGGCTCTCACATGCAATTATGGTGAAAGATAAGCAAAAAAGAAGGAAGAAAATGAGGAATACAGAGCTATCCAGACACGAACATGATCAGTGCATTAGGAGACATTTTCCTGGTATATGCGGAGACATTTAAATTCTTCCAAAAGTCTGTTTCTACAGAATGTCCATTTTTGCTTCGCGCATTTCTCATTTGATGATACCGAAGCAGCATCTCCCCACAAGTTCTTCTATAATGTGGTATTTTATAGCCATAAAACATAATGTCTGCCATAAGTGATGCCTTTATTTACCACATCAGGTCTTTCTAACAGGAGATTTAGGTTATTTCTGATTTTCACCAACTACAAACCATGCTGGAGCACTTTTAATATTTGACAAATATTCAGAATAAAATGGAACCTTGAGGTTTCGTGTACGTGTGTTTATTCTATAACTAACGGACTTGATCTTTCTGTGTTAGACCACTAGACATTTGTCTTTCCATTTATATTACTCGTATGTCCGTGGCTTTGCTACATTTTAATTTTTGACATTATCGGCCCGTGTTTTAAGGTCCTTGCTTACTCCTGGAGTTCCAGCTATGCAATGCACACTTATGCACAAGTGCAAGCCAAGCCCTGAGCAGGGAAGGAGTGAGTATGGTTGATAGATTATTTGTTTGTGAGGCTGCCTGGAACTTGAACTTTGCTGCACAATGAAATGAGTCCTGTAAATGCCACCAGGGGGCGCTCTACCCACACTGCCGGGGGAAGAGAGGCTTTGGGAGAAACCCACATTCTTGATGCATGATCTCTGCTCCAGGATGACACGTTTAAGTGTGTGACTTTTCATCTCCCTGCACAAGCCTCCCTCTAGACCAGACCACAGCCCCTGGGCTGTCCCCTGCTGTAGCAGTCGATGGCCCTGATCTCCCCTGTCTGCACCTGTGTCTGTCTCCCCTATAACATTTCAAAGAGCAGGGTCACCCTTCCAGCCCCGGTGCCCTTTCTTGTCTTGCAAACCACAGTCCTTTTAAATTTCCTTTCACCCATGCCCTGAGCAGAAACACCCTCCCCAAGCTCCTCCTCGGGCCACGGTTTGTCATTGCAGTGGCCCGCCCCTTCAGGGACCTGGGCCTCAAGCCATTTGCTTTGCAAACTGGAAAGTGTGTGATCCCAGGCCAGCCGTGTGCCTTCTCTGGGAGGCTGAGTACATTCCTGCCTGGCCACCTCCCAGCGCGGATGACATCGTGTTGGGAAAAGTGTTTGTAAACACAAAGCAAATAAAACATCTTCCCGCGATGATTCACTTCACCAGGATGCCCAGAGCATATCACAGGGAACCTGTGGGCTGTTGCGGGGACAGCTCCCTGATGATGGGTAATTGTCTATTGCCTGCACTTCCCAAGAGTGGACACCACCCCGGGGCTCCCTGTGCACTGCCTCGTGAGGCAGTCTCTCCAGCTGGGAGTTTCTATTTGCCATGGGCAGTGGAGCAAATCTCTTTTCGTGGTCACTTATCCACTAGCTTGCCGAGTGCCTCCTGGCCGTAGTCAGGGCCCCAAGTTCAGGGCTGATTCAGACGAGAAGTAAACCCCAGCCAGAATTAGAGTGCGAATTAGGGCCTCCAGAAGTGTGTCATGCCTCTGCGGCACTGAGGAGGGAGCGAGCTGGAGATCAGGGAAGTCTTCCTGGAGGAAGTGGCATTCCCACTGAATGGAAAGAGAGTATCAAGAGTTTATTGAGCAGCTGAGGGGGGCAGGTGGTAGAAGCTTCTAGACACAGGGAAGGCTACAGGCTGGAAGAGACTGGAGCATTCAGGAGTTCGGTGTGGCCGGGACAGGGTAGGGGGAAAGTGGGCAAGGAGCCTGGAGAAGGAGCTCAGCCGAGAGCAGCAGGGGCCTCGAATACCATGGGTAGGAAGTTGAACTTGATCCCACAGTGACGGGAGCCAGGAGGTTTACAAAAGGAGATCATCTGGGGGTCACACGGCTATCCCGAGAAAGGAGCTAAAACACCTCTCTGTAGGTCCTAACCCCTCCGGGCCCCCGCCCCTTCGGATACGTGCTGTGGGCTTTGGGAAATCACACACGCGTGCCATGTTCTCAGAACTCTGCCTACTGATACAATTCTTGGCCAAGACCCTGAAGGGCAGCTTCTGGTTTTGTTATCAATAGGTTCTAGCTTGAAATTTTATTTTTTTAAAATGTTTTATTTATTTATTTCTAGGAGAGAGAGAGAGACAGCGTGAGCCGGGGAGGGTCAGAGAGAGAGGGAGTCACAGACTGAAACAGGCTCCAGGCTCTGAGCTGGCAGTCAGCACAGAGCCCGACGCGGGGCTCGAACCCACGAACCGCGAGATCATGACCTAAGCGAAAGTCGGACGCTTAACTGACTAAGCCACCCAGGCGCCCCTCTAGCTTGAAATTTTAAACCTCAGCTACACTCCCCTGCGAGCTGGTAACTGGCTGGCTCTTTATGTCTCCCAGGACCCCTCTCCAGATGGCCATTTTTGACCCCCAAATGCCCCAAGTCGGGGCTGCCACTGCCCTCTGAGAATAAGACAGACACTGGCCGACTGTCACACCCCATGGCCCTGGGTCCAGCCCATATGCTTTTTTAAAAAACCTTTATTTATTTTGAAAGAGAGAGAGAGACAGAGAGAGCAGAGATGGACAGAGAGATAGAGAGAAACAGAGAATTCTAAGCAGGTTCCAGGCTGTCAGCACAGAGCCCAACGCAGGGCTGGAACCCACAAACCATGAGCTCGTGACCTGAGCCGACACCAAGAGCCAGACGCTTAACCAACTGAGCCCCCCAGGCACCCCAGCCCCCATTCTAAATGCCGGGGCCCCCAGCAGTGACCCACAGACTGAATGCCAGGCCCCTTCCTCAGCCTCACCCCCTCCACCTAGGAGACTGGTCATCGAGCGGGCAGGGGTGTGTGGTCGGACTATCCCAGCCCCGGTTCTGAGCGAAGGGCCGAGCCAAGCGTAGGCACCAAGGAGGCACCCATTAAATACCGACTACTCAGCCACCGACCAGTATTTGCTGGAGGTGCAGAGCACGGCGCTCACAAGTCCAGCGCCCTCACTTCCTCATCTGGAAATAAGGATACGAGAATGCCCCTTGTTCAGATGGACTAGACGAGTGACAGATAAAGGGCACAGAAATTCGCGCCTGGCACAAAGACACCCTTGTCAATAGCCACCCAGGCAAAGCTGGCCACGCAGCACACGTTCCTGTCACCTCGCGGGTCTTCATGACTGTTCGTCCATTGGGGTGCCTGGTATGGATTGAACTGTGTCCCCCCAAATTCCCAAGTTAAAGCCTTTGTCTCCAGTGTCTCGGAATATGTCCTGACTTTGGACACGGGACATTCTTGGCAGGTGCAACCGGTCACGACGAGGTCCACTGGCCTGACTAGTGTCCTTACAAAAGGGGGACGTTTGGACACAGAGACAGAACAGACAGGCAGAGAGGGAAGATGTGCCGTAAAAACACAGAGGGAAGACAGCACCCACCAGCCCAGGAGAGGGGCTCGAACAGACCCTCCCTCACGGCCTCAGAAGCCCATGAATCCTGCCAATGCCCTGACTTTGGATGTCAAGTTCCAGAACTATCGTCTCAACCACTGGGTTTGTGACAGCTCCAATAAATGACAATTTCCATCCACACACGATTTATTTTCCATAATTACAATAAGGTGCCAAGACGAAAATGCACACTGGTTTCCTTTATCTGGTGGCTATAACAGAGGGAGAATGAATAGACCACACAGAAGAGAGAAAACAGGGGCAGAGAGTTGCTATTTTCTTAAAAAAAAAAAAAAAAAAAAAACAGAGAAACTCATTATTCAAATGAGCCAGGCAGGATGCACTGCATTCCTTGGGAAAACATAGCGCATTTAAAGGTCTAGTTGATTTGAAATAGATTTATCTTCTCCAAAGAAAAATTGAACGTTTTTTCTTTTCGTGTTAGCTTTTTTAATGAGTGATCTTCTTTCGGGAAGGTTGCTCACTGATTTTTCCTTAAATGTAAATTGGAGGGAGACAGGATCTTGAGCTCTTTCTTGCAAGGAGCTGAGTCAACTCTCTCGGCCAGGGACTCAGGCCAAGGCAGGAGAAACAGAGCACTTTGGACCGCCATCAACTCTGGATCAAGCCCCAGTTCTGCCTCCCACTAGCTGTGTGACCACAGACCCGTGCAACACCTCTCTGAGCCTCAATTTCCTCTCATGTGGCATGGGGATACCATCGGCACCTACCTCACAATCTGCTTGAGCACTGAATGAAATAACGCCTTCGAACACTCCCAGGAGGGTCCGGAGCACAGGACTATGTTAAACACAAGCTTTTACTCTTCTATTGGCCAAACGAAAGAATAAACATCCAGTCGGCCCTCGTTACAGGCAGAGCTTAAGAAAATCACCCAAGGTCACACAGCTAGTCATTAAGAGAACCAGAAAGGAACCCAACCCTGTGGGGTTTTCACTGCATAGTCCTGGGACCCCCTGAGTGATGATGCTGGACCGAGGCTCCAAAGAGCTCCCAGACCTGGGCCCTGCCCTCACGGAGCGCACAGTCTAAGGGAGGAGCACTCAAGAAGCACGGACGGCACTTGCCACCAGGGACCGTCCCCACCTTTGGAGCTATGGGGAAGGTGGAAGAGGAGGTCATCATCTTCTGAAGGAGGGGACGGATTGGGAAGACTTTCTGGGCACATGGCAGTGACATAACACTGCACACCCAAGGGTCTCATCTGGCACACAGCCGGGACTCGGTAACTGCTGGACAGATGGATAGACAGGAGGGGACAGCTGATGAGGGATGAGGGGTGGCTGGTTGGTTCCCTGTAGACTGGCTGGATGGACAGATGGACAGCCGGATGGTTGTGTGAATGAGACGATGGAGCATCGGTAGACAAACGGACAGATGGACAGACGAGCAGGTATATGGGTGAACGGGGGGATGGGTGGATGAGAAGGGGGACAGATGGGCAGTGAGGTGGCTGTGCTGAAGAATGGGTAGCGGAAAGTGTGTGACTGGCTGTGCAGATAGGTGGGTAGGTGGCTGATGGAATGAAGGATGGATGGACGGATGGATGGGGCTAGTCAGGCTGGATCCGAGTAGATGACGAGGAAAACTGGGGGATGAAGGAGCTGGTGACTGGCAGGTGGCTGTAGGAGAAAGAGAAATCTGAAAACTCACTGGTGCCCCGGGTTGCGGCCACTTACCGGGCTGCAGGGACCGGCAGCGGCGGTGCTGCGCGCGCTCTCCCCGGACGCCCGGGCCCCCAGCTCCTCTCGAAGGCTGCGGTTTTGCTGCGCCAGGTCCTCCACCCGGCCCTGCAGGCCGATCTCCGACAGCTTGAGCTCGTAGATGCAGCAGCGAAGATCCTCCAGCTGCCCGCGGAGCCGGCGTTCCGTGGCGCGCTGCTCCCGCAACCCGCGCACCGCTGCATCCCGCTCGCGCTCGCCGCGCTCGGCCCGCGCCTGCAGAGCGCGCAGCTCCTCCGCCTCCCCTCCGGGGCCGGCCGGGCCGAGGGCGCGGGGGCTGCCCGGCGCCGGGGCGTCCAGCTCGGCCAGCAGGAGGCCGGCCGCGTGACACAGGCGCCGCACGTCCCGCTCCAGCCGCTGCACCTGCTCCCGCAGGCCGCGCTCCTGCTCGCGCACCAGGGCCAGCTGGCGCCGCTGCGTCCGCCGGCAGCGCTCCAGGGCCGCCGCCTGCCGCCCCAGCGCCTCGTCCTTGCGCCGCAGCCGCTCCCGCAGCCGCCGCAGCCGCCACCGCTGCCGCCGGGCCACGCGCTCCTTCTCCAGAACCTACAAGTTGGCGGTGGATCGAGGGCGTCAGGAAGTCAGCCCCGAGGGACACACCGTCGCGCACAGCGTTTTTATGTTAAACTTCGATATTCTGCCCGTCGGGGAGGTTTGGTTGTGCGTTCAGTTTCTCATTAAACTATTGCATCAGATACTATTTATTCCGATCGTTGAATTTTTTGGCGCCCCCGCCGTTTTGCGCGGGGGGAGTGCCTCACTCCCCCGGTAGGGGCCCCGCACCCGTGAGCCGTCCTCCGAAGGAAACTGCGCACGGGGCGGGGAGGGCCGCCCCAGGGCTGCCGAGGCTGGATGCGACCCCGCCAGTTTGTAGAGAGCTGCCGCTTGGACCCACCTGCGTTTCCCCGCTTCCGCCTGGACCTCCCACACCTCTCCATTTCCATACCCCTGGAGCGTTCATGCCGGGCCCCGCGAAGGTCGGCCAGCCCCGGCTTCTGGCTGCCCAGACCCCCCGCAGCAGGAGTACTGAGAATACCTCCAAAAACTAGGTACAGTCACTATGCCCTTGGGGTGCTCAGGATGACTGGCTTCATAATCGCTCGCCAAGGCCAGGATTCTAACCCCCGTGTACCTGAAAGGTCCAGAGAACACAGCTCTCTTGTTCTTAGACCAACCCCCCAACCCACCCCCAGCCCCACCCCCGGGGGGTGAGCTGTGAGCTGCACCAGGCCCACCCAGCCACCGCGACCCCGGGAGGGAGTCCTGGCCCAATTTCCAGAAAGGATTGACCCCAAGGGGTAGAACTACTCCTCTCTCAGCTACCAGCGCCTGCTGCCGGCCGGGCGAGCTCGCCGTGCGGAAGACAAGACGCGGGGACAGCTCGGCAGGCTTTGTTTGACAGCCTGACCCTGGGGAGGTGGGGCAGGTGACCCTGGAGCCGGATTCCCCGGGACGAAGCCTGTTCCCGGTTATCCCGTCACGGGCGGTGCGCTGTCCCCAGAAGGGTCCGCCTTCACCGGCTTTCAGAAGGGCCACAGGGCACCGCAAACCTGAGATGGCTGTGCACGCAGAGGCCTCCTGGGAACAATGACCGCAAAACTGCCGTTTGGCCAAGATCGCGTATGAAGAGCAGAGAGAGCTCACCCACGCACTCCTACGAAACTTGCTCCAAGTGCGGACATCTCCCGGGAGGGGCTCGGGGTCAGAGGGGCTGGGCTGGGGGGTAGCTGGGCCCAGCGGCCACAGAGGGACCCTGAGCGGCGCGCCTCCACCGCGCAGGCGTGATGCCCCTCCTCCGGAAGTGGGGTTTCCTGACTGTCCCCTCCTCCGGAAGTGGGGTTTCCTGGCTGGCCCCTCCTCCGGAAGTGGGGTTTCCTGGCTGGCCCCTCCTCCGGAAGTGGGGTTTCCTGACTGGCCTTTCCAGGAGCATACAGGTTCCATGAGACGGATGGCCCTAGGGAGGCTGTAGAGCTGCTGGTCCCGTGGGGCCTCTGAGCACACCCTCGTCCTCCATGTCTCCGTCACACTGGGAACATCTCGTGACTGCAGGGCTGTGGCTGACTCGCCTTGGAAACCCTCCATGGGTATCAGGCATGGCCCCCAACGTATTTACCAAAGGGTCTTCCACGGATTGATGAGATTCTTCCCGCTGGGAACCCACACCACACCCCTGCCTCTCACGGCACCGACGATGGCGTGCTCGCAGCCGAGAGGGACAATTAACTGTACTTTCTGCACCCAAGTTCAATGTAGAGGGCAAAAAAAAAAAAAAAATTCCACTTGCACGTCACCCTGGCATTTTGAAGACGAATTTCCACTTAATCGAACCCCTTATCTTTCCACACTCCACGTCTGTCTCAGCGAATGCCTACATCAGAGATTTTTGAACTTTTTTAACAGCTCCCTGCACTTCGACATCACGCCCCTTTACATGCACATGTGTGTGCCATTGACACAAGTGTCACGAAATAGCCCTCTTCCTTATACGCATGATGCCCTTTCTTATTTCCTTGTTGATTCTGTTTTTGGAACTTGTTTCCCAACCCGACGGTGAGCGTTCACCTGCAACTTGACCGTTGCTGCTGGGCTGTAAGGAGTGATCAGCGGAAAGTGGGTCTTTGAGAACCATGGGTGGCTGTCCTGGAAGGCTGTCATTTCTGTCCCTGCGGTATTTCCTAATGTGCCCTACCCTCCAGCCTTCCTCGTCATCCCGGCATATTTCAATAAAGACTAATACGTATGAAAACAGCTGGTGTTATTTGCTGTTACTGTTGTGAGCATTTTACACGCACTGACTCTCTAAACCCACACAACAGTCCAGGAGGGTTGGTCGTATATCATTTCCCATTTCACAGATGAGGAAACTGAGGCCCAGAAAGGTTAAATCACACCCCGTGAGTGGAAGAGCCAGGGCTCGGCACCAGGCGCCTGCCTCTGGAGTCCACCCCCTTAACCATCCACGGTTTCTCGAATGCACTAACTTGTCTCTCTGCCTCCACCACCTCTCTCTGTCTCCCATGCAACTGGAATAATTTTCCCTAGACCCTGTCCTGAGCCTCTCCTGCTGAAGTCCCCCAAAGCCTGCTCCTCACTGCGGTCAATTCACTGGTCCTTCTGGAACCGTACTGTCTCACCAACACCCTCCCCGTGCCCATGCCCTCTCCTCTGGCCCTGATATGTTCTCCACACTTTTGTGCCTGTGCACGGGCTGTTCCCAGGCTTCACATGCCCTTCCCCCAAGGGCCAGCTCCATTGGCTCAGTTCTCGGTCACTTCCCCTGACCCCGACTCCATCCACACTATGCCTGCACCCTCCTCCTGGCACCTGGAATCCGGCTTGGGAGTTACCCATCTCCTATTTGTGTCCCCACCTGCATGTTGCCTCCCAAGGCCGGTGACCCTGCATCAGTCAACATCCGCTTGTCCCCAGCCAGAGCTGGCTTCCCCAATGTCTGTTACGAGGGCCACAGAAATGAATGTCTGACCAAAGCTCCCAGGGGGTGCCCAGCCCCTGCAGGTCACCCTGTGCTTTCACCAACCCCCTCCCCCAGCAGATCCCAGCCAGAACCTTTGTGAGGCTTTACAGATGGGGCTGCTGAGGTCCAGAGAGACCACGTGACCCTGCCCCAGGCCCAGCACTGGGGGCATTAGGAGCCCTCAAAGCCCCCCCCCCCCCGGCTGGGCTCTCCCAGCACCCCCCCCCCGGCCCCCATCTTTACTCCACTGCACCTGACGCTCCCTGCAAGCACAAGGGGTCACCCTGCTGGGTGGAGACCCAAATAGTGGAATCAAGAGGGAAAATGGTACCTGGCTGGCCAGAGCCCCCTGCAGGGCTTGCAGCTTCTCCTGGGCCCGCCTTGCTTGGCTCCTCTCCTGCAACACGTGGGCGCTGAGCTGGTCCACCCTCCGGAGGAGCTGGCTCTCCGACAGCTCCAGCTGCTGGATTCTGAGGCAGCGAAGCAGGAAGATGCTTACTTGGGAGGCAGCAAACATGGCCGTAGAGTTTCACAGACCCTGGGGCCAACCTTGGGTGTTTTTTGGTCATTTGGCCAGTTTGATATTCTGAAAAATATCGCATTTTGTGAAACCTTCCCACCTATTTAGGATGATTTGGAATACTTCAAAGATATCGATCGAATAATAATGCACCGTGCATCAACAGTCTTAAATGTGTTCTCATCCCTCAGCTGGTAACCCCAAGTTCAGTTGATACCAACGAAGAAGGGCTGAGCCAGACCCATGTGGCTGGAGAGCTTTCTCTGTGTCGTTTCTATCCATCCTCACAGTACCAGCCTGCAGGTAGGTTCCCTTACCCCTACTTCACACACGAGAAAATGGAGGATCAGAGAGGCTGGTACCTGCCCGAAGTGACACAGCATTCTAGAGCCCAGACTATCTGACTCCTGAACTCAGGCTTTTAACCCTACACTCCATTGCCTCCTATGTGAGCTATACTCCTTCAAATCTCTTCCAAGGAAATGAATGAAATTCAGAAAAAGTCTCCGCAATTGAAATCATTCATCTTTGTATTACCTACAACAGAGAGAAGGTGGAAATGGCCTAATAGTTAAGGACAGCTCGGCCACATGAAGCCTTTTCTTTTTATTCTGGGGACGTGTTGAATATGTATGACTCACAAAGTAATACACAGGCTGGAAGTGAGCCCTGACCGCAGCTCCATCAGAAGGAAGTGCACACGAGAATGGGGAGAAGCCCAAGGGGACAGTCTGGTCCCGCGGGGACAGGAGGGACCACAAAGACTTGCCCATCTCCCGTTTGAACTACTTTCTAAGTCCCCTTAATGCACCAACCTTCCATCTATGACAGAAATCCAGGAAACACATGGAAAATGGGTCTGCAGCCTCCCCAGGCAAGCTTGCACACCTTCACTCCTCTGCCCATGCCACGCAGGGCGGCTCCCTCCACCAGGACAGATGCCGCCCCTTGGGGGAGGACCCAGCTTTGCTCCCTGACCTGCCGCTGACCAGCTGTGGGGCCTCAACTGGGCTTGTTCCCCACCATGACCCACAGTCTCTTTATCTTTAAGAGAGAGGTACTTGTACCGTGCTCAGAGATCTATTGTGAAGAAATGAACTGATGCATTAATAATAAGGTCAAGAGTCCCCTCTCCTGCCCTGAGGCCCTGAGGATGGCTTGTGTACGTGAAAGAAGAGAGTGTGCTCCCTGTGTGGCTTGTAATCCAATTCCTTCCAAACCGAACCCCAGGAGTGGCCCCAGGCTAATCGGTCAGTCAGGCCGAGCACTCGATTGCTTATAAAATGTGGTGATATGGGGGCGCCTGGGGGGCTCAGTCAGTTAAGCCTGCAACTTCACCTCAGGTCATGATCTCACGGTGTGAGTTCCAGCCCGGCGTCAGGCTGTGTGCTGACAGCTCGGAGCCCGGAGCCTGCTTCTAATTCTCTCTCTCTCTCTCTCTCTCTCTCTGTCCCTCTTCTCCCTCCCCCCCCAAAAAATAAAACATTAAAAATTTTGTTTCCAGTTTTTGAGATCAACCCAAAACACAAAATATGAGACAATATTCAACCCTGGTATTATCCTTATACTTGAAGCAGAAAATGACTAATCTCACCATGGCAGACTGAATACAGGCCCCGTCATATATCCAGGCTCTAATCCTGGCCCCATGAACATTGCTTAAAATGCAGGAGACTGTAGCTGTGATAAGTTAAAGACCTGGGAACAGGGAGACACCCCCGACCATCGGGTGGGCCCTGCCTGCCATCACAGGGGTCTGTCCCTGCAGTAGGGAAGCAGAGGGAGATTTCACAGAAGGTGAAGGCCAAGTGAAGCTAGATACTACCCTGCTGACTCTGAAGGTGGGGGAAGGGGCCGGGGCCCAAGGAATGCAGCTCTTCATGCTTGAAGAGACGAGGGAACAGACTCCCCCACCGCCTCTGGGGAGAACATGGCTCTCTCTCTCTGGATGCCTTGACTTTGGCCCCGCTTTAGGACTTCAGCCTCCAGGACTGTCAGACCAGATGGGTGTGTTGCTCTGAGCCGCCAGGTTTGTAGAAATTTGTTTCAGCAGCCCTCGGAAACAACCACGCCCACAAATAAGAAATAGACGACTAAGGGCCGTTTTTTTTCACTGATCTGCACCCAGTTACACAAATCTTACTATACAGTGCTGCAGACTGCTTGCTACGAAACCAGGAGAATCCACCGGGGCACCACGAGAAATGGGCCCCTTGTGGCTGCTATTACCACCCCAGGCAGGGCCGCAGGGGTTCAAGTCCTAGCATCCCCCACACCACGTGGCTGGATATGGGTGATTGTGGAGAAGTCACTTAACTACCCCGTGCCTCCCTTTCCCCATCTCTGAGTTGAGGATGACACTATCACCTCACTTTGCGTACTGTTTTCAGGATTCAGTATGTGAATATTTAACAGTGCCCAGAACAGAGTAAGCACTCCGTGAATAGCTATTGTTAATTTTGTTGCATTTTGGTTGGAAATGAACAGGCAACGTTGACGCAGTAATAAAGATAGGAGTGTGTCTTCTTTCTCAAACTTCTAACAACACTTCATTATTTTCATAATAATCTTATAAATGTTAACTGTCTTTTTTAATTTATAAATAATTTTAGAACATTTAACTTTTTCATCCAAGTGAAGTCCAATGCGCACGTCCAACCTTTACGGTACCCTACGAAACCCACGCTGCATCCAGCCCCCCCCCCCCGCCCCAGCTGCAGCCCCTAGTGACCCTGGATAAAGCAATTCATCCTTCCGGCCTCGGTTTCCCCACACCTGCGGGGTGGTGCGCCCCACCTTCAGACAGCAGACGACACAGCTCACATTACACACAGGTGGGTCCAGGACACCTCCTCCAGAATGGCCTCAGCCCGGGCCCCAGCCACGGAGGCCCCCTCCTCTCCATTGCTCATGGTGCCCCAGGGCTCCCTGTCTGTCCCTTGCATGGAAGGGTCCCCTTTGCAGATGTTTCCCCACCATTTGTCCCCAGGCCCCAGTGAGTTTCTAGCTTTCGCTCCCAATCTTTCTGGAGAAAGATCTGAGCCGCAACCATGTGTGGGTTAGGCTCTCTCCACGGCCGGGGCCCTACCTTCCCTGGGTCTCAACCCCCAGGATTTATATTATGGGCTGATCTGTGTCCCCCTCAAATTCCTATGTTGAAGTCCTAATGTCCAGGACCTCAGACTGTGACCGTATTTGGAGACAGAATCTCTACAGAGATAACTGAGTTAAAATGAGGCCACATGGATGGGCCCTGACCCAGTCTGACAGGTGTCCTCATGAGAATCAGGGATTAGGACACAGACACATGAGAAATGGTCGTGTGCGGACACAGGGAGAAGAGGCTGTCTACACACCACAAAGAGTGCCAGTCCTCACAAGGAACCAAACCTGCCTGCACCTTGAACTTGGACTCCCAGCCTCCAGGCCTGGGAGAAAATAAATTTCTGTTAAATCCCCCAGGCTGTGGTGCTTTCTCCGGGCAGCCTGAGCACACACCACTATAACTTAGCACATGACTCTGGCGGCCAAGTGCAGGAGGTAGAAGGGTGAGCGAATGAATGAATGGATGAACGAACGGATGGATGGACAATCACATGGAGTAACAAAACCATCTTTCTGATATGTGAATTTCTTCGTGTGAGAAGTTTGACAAAGAGGAAATAAGAAGGAAAGCACATGTAAATCCGTGCTTCATGACTCGCCTTTATTAAAATGAAGGAAAATACAAGAAAATGGTGAAGCCCCAGGCAAATCCGAGACACTCGGCTGCTGAGACCTGGGTCAACCTGTCGGCATGGAGCCCAGTCACTAGCGTCCTGCATTTCCAAGCCACATTCCTCCCCTGATACCTACGCAGGACCCCGCCGCACTCTGCGGCCTCAGAATCCGAAAATGGTCGGGGAGGAGCGGCTGGCCTCTTCCTTCTCCTCCCTGTGGTGCCTCCCATTGGCTGGACCCACATCCTGAACTGGGAGCCTGGGACCCTGAGGGCTCAGCCCCTGGACCCTGAGGGCTCAGCCCCTGGGACACGGAGTGGAGGATAGGAAGGAGGGGGGACCAGAGCCCGGTTCCAGCATGCAGGCTATTTCAGCCATAGAAAGGATTCGACACACTGATCTAACCCAACTATGAGGCCCAGGATTCGTTAAATACACAAAGAAGGGGCGCAAATGCCGTATTTACCTGCTCCTGAGCTCGGACTCCAACATCACGTACTTGTCCACAGCAGCCAACAGCTTGCGCTCGGAGGACTCCAGCTGCTTCCTGAGCGCGCCCGGGTCCGTGTCTGGGTTTCCAGCTGCAGGAGGGCAGCCCGGCCCCTTGCCACCGTCCTCTACATCCTGGAACAGCCAGGACGTGTCGATCTTCACATCCACGTTCATCACATCGAACCCATCGGGGCCGGGGGCTCTGACAATGTAGCTGAAACTTTTCTCAGTCCGCCCTTGAGCTGCGGGCTCCATTGCAGGAGAAGTTCATGCATCAAGACTTAATAACCTTAAGTGGATTTGCAGCTCTGACTTTCTGGACAGTTCCGGGAGGCTGCAGGGCCTTCAGAATGTGCAGGAAAATATCCCTTGAGGAGGGCAAGGACAGGTGAATTATTTATGAGTGCGCCTCGGGTTTCCCCAGTACACGCATCATACAATACGAACGGACACCTCTCGTTTTACAAGCTGGCATGCCAGGACTCGCCCAAAGCAGGACAACGTTGTTGAAAAGTCATTTAGAACTAAATGCTGAATGATATGCACAGAGAGGTAAAATGAGATTTCCAGGAAGGACCATCAGAAATATAAATTCTCAGTGGTGGGGCACCTGGGTGGCTTAGTCAGTTAAGCGTCCGACTTTCGCTTAGGTCATGATCTCACGGTTCGTGGGTTCGAGCCCCGCATCGGGCTCTGTGCTGACTGCCAGCTCAGAGCCTGGAGCCTGTTTCAGTCTGTGACTCCCTCTCTCTCTGACCCTCCCCTGCTCACGCTGTCTCTCTNGCTTAGGTCATGATCTCACGGTTCGTGGGTTCGAGCCCCGCATCGGGCTCTGTGCTGACTGCCAGCTCAGAGCCTGGAGCCTGTTTCAGTCTGTGACTCCCTCTCTCTCTGACCCTCTCCTGCTCACGCTGTCCCTCTCTCTCTCCTAGAAATAAATAAAACATTTAAAAAAATTTTTTTAATAAATAAATAAATTCTCAGTGGTGGGGCTCACACTCCGCCCTCCTCTACGAGTGGATGAAGGTCTATGCCTCCTCTCTGAGGACAGCAAACATTAATAGGGATCTAGAGCTCGCCAGGCAGAGGGGACGGGGGCTAGGGCTGTCCCGGGTATCGCCCGTGCTCTGGATCTCGTCACCTTAGCTGGTCCAACCATCCTGGTAACCTAAGGAGGTGGGCATTATCATACCCATTTTGTGGATGATGAGACAGAGGCTCCGGAAGGTGGAGGAGCTTGTCCAGGCCCCACACACGGGAGATGCCAGAGTCAGGATTCAAATCCACATCTAAACCCAAAACTCGAGAGGTGAGGAATGCACCGAGGCCCTGACCAGAACACGCATGTCCCGTGGGAGGGAGCCAGAGGCTGGTGGACTCAGGAATGGTGGAGGCAGCAGGCAGACACGGGCACAGGATTCCGCCAGGCAGAGGCAGCCTTGGGGTCAAAGCCCCATGACATGGGCAGGACAGATGAAGGGTGTGGCCAGCCTGGTGGGCACTTGGTGGGGAAATGAGGATGGGGAACATAAGTGACCTGGGGCCATATCAGTGGAGGCCTTGAGCTCTGGAAAAAAGACTTAGGAATCTCTCTGTGGCCAGTGGGGTGTCCCAGGAGTGCTCAGAGGCAGGGAGTTGGTCAGATGTTACTTGGAGGCTGGAGCACTCTGGGGCCCGTAGGAGGTGACAAGGAGGTATAGGAGCCAGTGCTCTCAGCCTGATGCAGAGCGGTGCAAGCGGAGGTACAAGGTGAATCTACCAGGCTTGGGGCGCCTGGCTGGCTCCGTCTGTTAAGCATCCGACTTCGGCTCAGGTCATGATCTCACGGCTCATGAGTTCGAGTCCCACATCAGGCTCTGTGCTGACAGCTCAGAGCCTGCTTTGGACCCTGTCTCCCTCTGTCTCTGCCCCTCCCCCGCTCATGCTCTCTCCCTCCTCCTCTCTCAAAAAATAAACAGATATTCAAAAAAAATACCAGGTTGAACCGCCCTGTTAAAATAATGAAAGGGACTCCCCCCTCCCCTTATGTAGAGGAGCATGTACTTTAGAAAACTTATAGGGGTACCTGGGTGGCTCAGTTGGTTAAGCATCTGACTTCAGCTCAGGTGGTGATCTCGCGGTTTCTGAGTTCGAGCCCCACATAGGGTTCTGTGCTGACAGCTCAGAGCCTGGAGCCTGCTTCAGATTCTGTGTCTCCCTCTCTCTCGGTCCCTCCCCTGCTTATGCTCTGTCTTTCTCTCTCTCAAATTATCTTGAGGGCATGTATGGAATGGACTGTGTCTGCTTGGACAGGGGTGAGATTCCTTCCTGTCTTTGCAAATCTCTGAGCAGATTGCCTGTAATGCACGTCACTGTCTGGTTTGATGCTTATTCAATACTAAACATGCTTTCTTTTTTATCTACCTCTGTGGAGACATTTTCCGGATTGGGGGGAGATTTTGTCTTAATAATATTACTCCAACAGTAAGCAGTGTTCCAGGGTGGCCCAGAGGGCTTCCGACAGACACAGGGTGGCCAGAGGCAGCAGGGCCGGGTGCTGGCCCAGAGGGGATGCAGTGGACCAGCTCAGAACTCAGGTGCCCGGGTCACATGGCCTGGGTTCGAATCCCATCTCTGTGGCTTCTCTGATAGAATCCTCAGCAAATGACCTAACTGCTGGGCACAGTCTAGGGGGCATAGTCCGGGGTCCTCAGAAGCCCCCAAGAGCTCCTAGACGACCTCAGGGAGGAGCACCCCCAAATCAGCAGGCCTCTAGCAGGTTCTGGTTCAATGTGAGAAAATACGCAAAGACACACAGGTCATTGTTTGTACTGGGACCATTGGGCAAGGCTCTACCGGTCACGGCCTGGTTACGGAAGGTGAGGGAAATGCAGGAGCCACAGACCTTGAGGGTTTCAGCCCCCAGGATGGAAGGATGGGGAGGAAAGATCATGAATCTGCTCAGAAAGGTGTTGAGCTCGTGCTGGAGCACAGCGTTCATGTCTCCAAGGGAACCAGGGCCCCCCTGGCAAGGGGTGGGGGATGCACAAGCTCGGCACACCTGCAGCGCCCCCACCCCACCCCACAGCGCCTCAGACAGTGCCGGGTGCTACCGGATGCGATGCGTTAACCCCAGAAGCACCGGCACAGCCCGCAGCCTGCCTTTCTCATTCCGCAGAACGCGGCTCAGCGCGTGCAGGGGAGGGAGATCACATCTGTGCACAGCTGGGCCCAGAGGACGTGGGGCCGGCGGTCAAGGCCTCAAGCTGCAGGAAGACCCTCCCGACCCGGCTTGCCTGGGACTCCCCCCCCCCATTTTAAAACCAGAAGTCCCACCTCCCAGACAAAGGGGAGGGCTTGTCACTCTGCACTGCTGGTCTCCTGGCCCCCAAATGCTGCCAGCAGATCTGCGAGGCAGGTGGTGGGAAAGGGTGGACCCAGCCCTTCTCCTTTCTGCAGGAGACGCTGACCTGGGGATCAGCTGACCTCTGGGAACCACACCCCCCACGGAACGTGAGCGGTGCTACGAGGCCACACCCACCACAGCCAGCCCGACGGGCGAGGGGCCAAGGGCATGGATGCAGTCCACCAGAGCTCTGAGGCCCCCTGAGCACAACGGCTGTTTGGAGCCTGGCCTGTCCCCAGCAGGGACCTCAGAAGCAATGCCCGGGACTGTCACTGGTTCCTAGGGGGGTACTTTGGGCTTTTACACGGGGGTCCCTCCTGTACCTGCTTGTGTGGTCTCATTCCCTTGCACCTGAGTTGTCTCAGAGCATGAATGGCTCCCGGTCCCCCACAGGCTGTTCGGTCTCCTTTGAGGACAGTCTAGCGGAGGGCACCACAGGTGGCTGCCGGCCGCATCTCCTGCCAGTGTCCGGAAGCCCCTGGGGTCTGTCTAGTTATGTCCCACAGAGAGCAGGGGTGAGGCGCTGCAGGGGACTCTCACCCCCTCGACCAGAAGAAATTAAGACTCGGAGCAGCAAGTACTTTGCCAGCGTCGGCTGCAGGAAAGGGGCCAGGCTGGGAGTGGACCCACGTGGGTTTGACATCAAGGCCAACACCATCCCCATCTTGTTGTCTGAGTGGGAGAGCGGAGCGGACAGGAGGGTGTGAGGCCCACGCTCTGGACGCTCCGGCAGTGGGGAGTGGGGTGGGCCCTCAGTGCCATAGAAAGGATTCCCAGAGAGCCGTGTGCGCTTCCCGGACTCTGTCCACTGAGTCAGCAGAGCAATGGCTCTCCGTGCTGCCTGGGCGCCGGGGCAAGCAGATGTGTGTTCCTTGCACTCACTGCGAGGTCCCACACTCCCATCGCTACCTGGATGCTCAGGTGTCCATCTCCAAGCAAAGACATCAGTTCATTCACATTTGGTCACCGGATGTTGGTAAGTCGTGGGGGCTGGAGTGGCAGGTGCTCTGGGTTTAGATTTCAAGAGAGAATGGTCACTCCGCCCTCTCAGTTCTTTGATTTGGTTTGGACATCCCTCCCCTTCTGGCTGGGGCGCCCCCTCTGCTCACCATAATCGCCTTCTCCATCCTTGGCTTTGGCTTCTGAGAACCCTCAGCTCCTCCGCTGATCCTTCTACGGCCTGAATTTCAGTCACTTCTGTTTCCTCCAAAGGCTCTTCTTACTAGAAACCCCAGGGTCACTCCCGCAGCCCAGCAACCACAGAGCAGAGAATCATCCTGTCCCTGGGACTGACCCATTCCTGCCACTTTGCCCTTCCTTTTCCTTCACCACCTCCTGTTTTCCTTCATCTACTCTAATTCTGCATGTCTTCCTTCCAGAAGTTTCCGAGAGAATAGTCATGTGAGCAGGGACTTCTGGAGATGCGGACCTACCTGCCCCCCAGGGCAGTACCACCCTGAGTCACTCCCCTTCTCAGGGGCTCTGCCTGGGGGCCCCACTCTCAGCAGCTGCTGCCCCACCTCCTTGGCTGCCCCCAGGCACTCCGTATGCTAGGAGGTTCCATTCATAGCGATCTCCCTGAGATCAGGAAGGGCGCCTCCTCCACAACTGAGAGAAGGCGGCTCCGCTGTCAGACTGATGCAGGGGGAGGCTCATTCCCCACGGCTGCTCCCCAGAACACTTCACCTTCTGGCATCTTCCCTCGGCAGCGTCTTGCAAATTACAACCAAGATGCAAGTCGGTGCGGGATTGGCGCGGTTGGGGACGGCATCTACCTTCTCCTCCCCCACCCCAGGGAAAGCCAGGCTCTGAGATCTTCACCACGTCACATCCAGGAAAGTGATGGAGTCTGCGGTTTCTTTCTTGGAAA